AATATTTTCTGTTGCCAAGTATTTTATGCTAGGTAACTATTAATGGGTACAGAGGCGGGGCTTTCCCACGGGAGAAGCATTTCTTATATGATGGAGTCTTGGGGTAAAATGGAGTCTGTTTAGTCATTGCCCATATAGCCTGGCCCATAATGTGACACTTTCTCAAGAGCAGGTTTGCACAAGTGGGTATTGGACAGGCATGTACAAGGGAGAGGCTGGAGGGCAGAGGAAACAAACTCACTACAGTTCACTGGTACCGAGTCTGAATGCACAAACCAGCAGCCATCTCTCTGCTGGACAGACAGGACTTCACAGGAACAACTTGCCCGTACTGAACATCCTCAGCAAAGCTCCTAGGACACCCAGGCAAGGCAGGCTCGCCTAAAGCCCTGCTGGACAGCCCTGGGATGCTCCCCAGATTTGGGGAGATGGGCAGTCTTGTGAGGACATGCTTCCTGGTATTCCTAAGCCAACTTCCTATTTTACTTTTTTGGTTGTTTGGTACTGGAGATTGAACCCAGAAGCACTTTACCACTGAGCCACAGACTCAGCCCTTTTTATTTTTTTCAAATTTGATTCAGGGTCTCACTAAGTTGCTTAGAGCCTCACAATTATTTAAGAAATAGAGCTGGGAAGGTGGTGCACACCCATAATCCCAAAGACTCTGGGGGCTGAGGCAGGAGGATTCCAAGTTTAAGGCCAGCCTCAGTGAGACCCTGTCTCAAAATAAAAAATAAAAAGGGTTAAGGATGTAGCTCAGTGGTTAAGCACCTCTGGGTTCAATCCCAGGAAAAGGAAAAAGAAAAGAAATAATTAATGGGCTGGGGATGTGGCTCAAGCGGTAGTGCGCTCGCCTGGCATGCGTGCGGCCTGGGTTCGATCCTCAGCACCACATACAAAAAAACAAAAAACAAAGATGTTGTGTCCGCTGAAAACCAAAAAATAAAATATTTTTAAAAATTCTCAAAAAAAGAAAAAATAAATAATTAATAATTCATTGTTTAAAATCTTCCCAGAAAGAAAATTTCATACCCAGATGATTTCATTTTCCTAAAATGTTCCCAAACATTTTGGGAGAAAAATAACTCCCATTCTACACAAACTAACCTAGGTAAAGAAAAAGGAGGAATGTTCCAAGTTTTTATTCATAAGAGCAGTCATTATGTGATATTAAAACCACAAAGACATTATAAGAAAAAATACAGGATGGAGAGCTTATCTAGCATGCGCAAGGCCCTGTTTAACACCCAGCAATGGGGGAAAAGAAAGAAAGAAAGAAAAGAAAAAGAAAACAAGTAGACAAATGTCACTCATGAACATAGACACAAAAACTCTTTTTTTTTTTTAAGAGAGAGAGAGAATTTTTTAATATTTATTTTTTTTTAGTTTTCGGCAGTCACAACATCTTTGAGGATCGAACCCGGGCCGCACGCATGCTAGGTGAGCGCGCTACCGCTTGAGCCACATCCCTAGCTCCTAGACACAAAAACTCTTAATGCAGCCGGGCACAGTGGAGTATGCCTGTAATCCCAGTGGCTTGGGAGGCTGAGGCAGGACGATCATGAGTTCAAAGCCAGCCTCAGCAATGGTGAGGCACTAAGCAACTCAGTGAGACCCAGTCTTTAATAAAATACAAAAAAGGGCTGGATGTGGCTCAGTGGCTGAGTGCCCCTGAGTGCAATCCTCAGTGCCAAAAGTAAATAAGTAAATGAATAATTAATTAAAAACTTAACGCTTTACCAAACTGAATCAATAAAACATACACACACACACACACACACACACACACACACAAGGATAATATGTTATGACCAAGTGGATTTTGCTTTGAAGTACAAGGTTGGCAAGTCCCACAACTTACTATTAACACTGTGCTTTAGGTCCTAGTCAGTTCAACAATTCAAGAAAAAGAAAGAAGGCATACACATTGAAATGAAGGAATAAGATCATTTTATTTGTAGATGTCACAAACATTTGCATAGAAAATCCAAGTAATCTAAAAAATCTGCTAGAGAGAATGTAATTTTAGCATAGTCAAAGGATACAATGTCAATGTATAAAAATCAATGTTATTCCCATATATTAGCAATGAATAATTATAAATTAAAAATAATACAATAGCATCAAAAATGTTTTTTGAGCTTAACTGGAAATGTTCTAAATCACAGATATGGTAGTGGTCATATGATGCTAAGGCCTGAATGTGCCCAACCAAGCTCAGACCTTGAACTTAACCAACACTGTGACAGAATTAAGAGGCGGGGGCCTATAGCAGGCAGCTAAGTCCTGAAGGCTCAGTAGGGTTAGCGCCCTTATAAAGGAGGCTGCAAAGAGTGATCTCACCATTTCCCACCATCTCTTCTGCTGTTTGAGGACGTGGTGGTTCCTCTCCTCCAGAGGACACAGGAGCACAGCATCATCCCGGTAGCAGAAACCAGGTTCTCAGGACACAAAACCTAGTGGTGCCTCAATCTTGGATTTTCAGCCTCCAGAACTGCAAGGAATAAGTTTTTGTTCTTTAAAACCATCCAGTCTCAGGCATTCTGTTATAGTAATGGGAGTAGACTGATACACTGAGTATAATTATAGGACAAAATAAAGCTTTTCCACTGGGCCAAACTAGAAGGTCCTTGTTTAGCACCTGGACAGCCATCTTAATTGACAGCCGCCATTTTAAGAAAAAAGTTTTGCTTTCCCACCCCCAAGGTCCTTTCTGAGAAAGGCTCACTGCTCCCTCATACCAACCCAACCCTTCACTGCCCACATTAGGACCTACCCAGCTCTAATCCCCAAACCTCCCCCATAAAAGTCTTGAACCCCAGGCCTGTGTTGCCTCTCTCCATCTATGGAAAGATGGTCTTTATTTGACAGCTCTGACTGGTCTCATGTGTCTCTGACTGGTCTCCCTCTTTCATTTCTTACTCACCCTGCTCCTGGTACCTCGCTTTCCTTTCAGTTGTGAGAAGGATAATGGCAGGAGATTGGGAATGTCAATCATATAGGGGTTGGAAGCAAACTAACTTTGGATTTTACTGAGTGACATAGGAAATTGAGGATTCTGTGCAGAGGACTGAAATGATCTGACTTTTAGGAAGGATTATAGAGCTAGGGATGTAGCTCTGTGATAGAAATGCCTACTAAGCATGTGAAAGGCCCTGGATTCCATCCCCAGCATCACAAACAAAACAAAAAATATCATCTGTCACTGAAGGGAATCAGGGAGGGAATGTAGCAGGTGTTATGGGTTAAATTGTGCCTTCCCCCCAAAATTTTGAAATCTTAACCTCTAGTATTTTTGTGAATATAACCTTATTTGGCAGGGGGAATCTTTGTGGATGATCAAATTATGATGAGGTCATTAGGGTGTGCCCAAATGCAACAGGACTGGTATCCTTACAAGAAAGGAAAAACGCAATGGGAGGACAGAGACACACAAGGAGATTGTCACATAATGACCGAAACAGACTAGAGAGATGCAGCTTCACTGCAAGGAACGTCAAGAGTTGACCACCACCACGGGAAGTTAGAAAAGGCATAGTTTCCTCCCCTGGAGACTGTAGATAGAGCATCATTATGCAAAACCTTGATTTTAGAATTGTGGTCTCCAGATTTTAGAAAAATAAACTTCTGTTGTTTAAGCCACTCAGTTTGTAGCACTGTGACACGACAGTCCCAGGAAGCTAATTCAGGCTACCGCCATCATGTGATGGTGTCTTCTCATAAGATGACATAAGTATGAGAGACAGGCAACAACAGGAGGGGACAAGGGTGAGAATGAGAAGTCAGAATATACCTTCGCAGCAGGAGAAAGATTGAAATGCAGACCTCGAAGGGGGTCCCACCATCCCAGACTGAAACCCTATAGGGTGGTTTTTATTTATTTATTTTTGGTTCCTGACTGGAAAGTCCTAATCACGCAACACTCTATTGTGACCCCAGATTTCCTTGACGACCCTCACATTAGTCCACCTCAAAGAGCTGTTTTTATCTCAAGCAGTTCTTTTGTTTTAAGGAACAAGTTCAGGACAAACTGAGGTGAGCAAAGACATTAAACCCATCCATATGGGAATAAGAAATCAGGATCTTACACTTTCAATTGCGCCAGAAGGCTTTTCCTCATCAGTAACGAACAGAAACCCCCGACAACGACCCGCGGGCAGCCCTATCTAGGGGCCCTACCCTCTCGGGAGCTCTGCTTTCCTGTACTCCAATAAACCCCGTCACTTTGCTGCTTCACACCCCGTGTCCGTGGATCCCACTCTTCGGACAACCCGCCCGTGCGCTCCGTGACACCCTTCCAGGGGGGCTGGCTTGAGCGCAGGGAGCCGTGGAGCGGCCACTTGCTGAGACGCGGACGAGGCGGGCAGCGGGGTCGGGGTCGGGGTGGGCCAGCAGTCTGCTTTACTTCAGGCCCAATAAGAAAGGAAAGGCACGCCCTCCACCCGCTTTTTGATCAGCCGAGGGACAACCTGACAGGTGTTCTGGACAGCCAGCTCTCACTCCACCACTTTCCGTAACTTCCTTGGCCCCAAGTGACCAATTAAAATTAAAACAGGCCCCAAATCTTTAAGACTCATCCCGATTCGCTTTAGCCTCCCTAGCTGGGCCAGGCGGGTTGGGCATTGGGCTTGTCAATCGTCCGAAGCCCGGCGTGATTGGTGGAAGTGGTCCAGGGGAGGAGCGACATCTGGACCTGTGCGAGTTGATGCGATTCCGTTTCCGGCGGCGGCTCTGGGGCTCCTGGGAACCGGAAGGAGCGTCGCCAATGGCTGGGGATCAGACCGCGGTGCAATGGCGGATGGGATACCGGAAAGAGCGCCACGAGAGCCGCTCAGAACCCGGAAGGAGCGCCGGGGCCGCCGCGCGGGGCTTGCCGGGAGCCTGAGGAAAGGATGGCTGCGGTTCCGGCCTTGGCGCGGAGGCCGCCGGGTATCCGGAAGGCCGAGATTGGGCTATGGGTCCGCGCTGTGCGGTAGTGCAGCTCTGCGGGCGAGGTAAGCTCGGTCTCCGCCTGCCCGGGGATGACCACTCGCACGGGCCCCGGGGTTGCGGTCGCTGGTGTGGCCGCGGTGGCACTTCTGTCGGCCGCGGTGGCGCTGTACGGGCCTCTGGACGCAGGTACCCGACCGCGGGCTGCTTCTGCGGGCGGGCGGCGCGGAGCGCGGGGCGTCCTGGCCGACCGTCTGTCCGCCGGCTCCGGCCGGGATTCACTCGTCAGCCCCGGCGGGGCGGCGCCGATCGGCGCCTTTGGAGCCGCTGCGGGTCCCGGCACCTCTGCCGGCCTGGGCGTGCGCGCGGGGGGCTGGCGCGGGAGGCCCCGGGGCCCGGCACCTCCCCAGGGCCGGCGGGTAGGAGGGCTTAGGTCGCAGGTCGCGTGGGTGTCCTCTCCGCTGGGAGCCGTCTCCCTCGCGGGCCCCACCGCTCCGGCAGTCGGGTGGCGGTGCGCAGGGGCGCCGTGCGCCCTGGGGGTCGTTGGGGTCGGCCCCTGCTGTGGGAGTTGGCGCGGTCAGCGCCGCGGCATCTGGCGCTGGGTTTTCAGCTGACTAGTTCTTTTTTTCCAATTTTTAAAAATTGTCGGTAGACCTTTTTGTTTATATGCGGTGCTGAGACTCACCCTTGCTAGGCAAGCTCTCTACCGCCCAGCCCCAGCCCGCTGACTAGTTCTTTTTTGCTTAGTTGTAGGTGGACACGACACCTTTATTTCGTTTATTTTTATGTGGTGCTGAGGATCGAACCCAGGGCCTCGCTCCACAACCCCAGCCCTCAGCTGACTAGTTCTGAGTGCACTGAGGGGCCCCTTAGTTTACACCACCAGGGTGGCTTCTGGGGCCGCTTTAGAGACTTTTTTCCCCCCCCTCTCTGTTGGTAGTTGTTTGCCTTGAATTTAGATACTTTATGATTAGTTTGCAGGGTTTTTCTATACACTTATTTTAAGTTTCATTATTAAATTTTCGTGAACTTTCTGAAAAAATTATTCTTGGCTTTAAAACTTCAACGCCATTCAGACGTTAGGATGTGTCTTGACTCAGTTAAGGAATGCTGACACATGCTTCTAATTCGCGTTCACTTAAAGCGCTTTTGGTACAGAGAAGACACACTTCTTTAAAACCAACGAAACCCAAACAGATTTGACCAGGTTTTCCGGCCTGGTTTGTTAGGAAGCCAAATTGACTTATATAAGTATCATTGCATTTTAAATGTGCTCTTGGCAAGGCCTTTTATCCTTCAGAACTTTGGTGTTTATATTTAAATACTTACATGGATAAATCCAAGTGGTGTGTGACAGTAAGCCAACTGAAATTTGATGCACTCTGAGTGTCGGAACATTTAACTGACTTTCCTTTGATCTTTTTTTTTTTTTTTTCCTTTTGTTCAGGGATTAAACCTAAACCTAAGGGTGCTCAACTACTGAGCCACATCCCCAGCCCTTTTTATTTTTCTTCCCAAATGTATTTAGAGTGCATTTGATAGACATTTGACTTTTGGTTGGTGAAGTGAATAATTTTGCTGAAGAAAAATTTGGTTTGCCTTCAAATGACAGCTTTTTTTTTTTTTTTTTTTGTACCTAGGGGTGCTTAACCACTGAGCCACATCCTTGGCCCTTTTTTATATTTTATTTAGAGACAAGGTCTCACTGAGTTAGTTGCTAAGTGCCTCGCTAAGTAGCTGAGGCTGGTGTTGAACTCTCAATCCTCCTGCCTCAGCCTCCCAAGGTCTTGGGATTATAGGCATGCACCACTATGCCTGGTTATATGACAGCATTTTTATGAATTTTTGAGAGATGAATTTTGCATTGGTGGGTTGGTTGTGTGGCTTGGCTTGTCCATTACTAACAGTGCATCTTCATGAATCTCCTCCTCTCTAGGCCTCAGTTTCCTGGTCTGTAAAAAAAGATAAACTAGCTCAGTGTGAGAAAACTGAACCACTGTGCCTTTAATTCGCCAGACACTGATTGAGTTTTCTCTTCTTTGGCAGTCTTTTTTGGATGAGGGTGGGTATCCCACATGAAGACACTGTAGCTCCCTTCAGCCAAGGTGGGAGTGAAGCTATACACTGCAGGCAGAAGGTGATAGGGTGGTCTCACCAGCTCAGACAGGAAAATGGCCATCTTATGACCGTTAACCCTCCTACATATGGGTCAGTGCTGGAAAGATGTCACAGCTACACGAGTAATAATATTGCTTTGCCTTTGGCTAGCACTGTGAATTTTTAAAATTTCATAATAAAAAGTTTTTAAAATAAATTTTAAAATTAACAGTTATGCTTTTAAATCAGTTACAATTACATTATGCTTTTAACATAATTCCAAAATGCATACATTTGAGAGCTACTTCTCATGTCCAAATCTTCAGGTAATTCTGATGCTTGCTGTCCTCAAGGATTCTTGGACCTGGCCCTTGCAGTAGCATCACAGCTCATAAACTGGAGATCCAGCGAAAGTCATTTTTGTGGGGGTAGGGGCCGATAGGTAGGGGTTTCACTTAATTGCCCAGGTTGGTCTTGAACTCCTAGACCTAGGTGATCTCCCTGCCTTCTGACTGCTGGGTTTATGGGCAATGTACCCAGCTCCCAAAGTCTTAAAATGTGATGGCCCAGAAGAGGAGGGAGAGGTAAGTTTTGCATTGGTGGGTTGGTGAAATTGCTGTGAAGGTGTTTAAATGTGCTCACTTTGGGTTCCAAAATACCAGTTCTGTGTAAGGAAAAGGATTGCTCAGCACAGGTTCCCCCAGGCCTGTCCTCTGGGTACCGTAAAGACTGCTATATGAATATGGTGTGAGGTTTTACATAATTAGAAGACACATTTTGGGGTTATGATAAATGAGATTTAAAAAAATCAAATGCTTCACCTATAGTAGAAAAATCTGCCACAGTAGCTCAAACACTTGTTGGAAGCTGGTTGGGGCCTCTAATCTCAGTGACACAGGAGGCTGAGACAGGAGGATTGCAAGTTTGAAGTCAGCCTCAGTAACATAGTGAACCCCTAAGCAACTTAATGAGACCCTGTATAAAAATAAGAAAGGGCTGGGGATGCGGCTTAGTGGTAAAGTGCCCTTGGGTTCAGTCCCCAGTACCAAAAACCAAGCAAACAACTTGTTGGGTTTCTTGGTATCTTAATGAAGCTTATCTTGAAGTGGAGGGAGAAGGATGAGCACTCATCATTATTTGATTAACAACAAAAATTACTATTTGCCTTTAAATATGTAGAGTTTAAGCATGTGGGCACTCAGCCTAGCACATCTCCCCTTTCTCAGCCACAAAAATCAGAATGGTGGAGCTGGGTGTGGTGGCACATGGCCTATAATTCTAGTGACTCGGGAGGCTGAAGCAGGAGGATCATGAGTTCAAAGCCAGCATCAGCAACTCAGGGGGACCCTGTCTCTAAATAAAATACAAAAAGGGGCTAGGGATGTGGCTCAGTGGTTGGGTGCCCCTGAGTTCAACACCAAAAAAAAAAAAAAAAAAAAAAAAAAAAAAAAATCAGAATCGTGTTGTGCTAGCCCACTTGTGCTGAGGTATGGGACAGTTTGCAAGTGTGGACACTTGAAAACAACAAAACTGCACACACAAAAAAGTTTTACACTTGTTGAATGAAGTTTTACTTGGCATGTTTTGCTGTTTTTTAGTCCCAGAGGTTTTACTGAAGTGCTTCTGCAAGCACGGCTGCCCCAGCGACAGCAAGGCTCCTTCCACAGCGGCTGTGGGCTGAGAGCTTCATTGTTATGTGCTGGGAAGAACACTGCAGGGCAGTTGGTGTATTGACTCATGTATTTCTGCCTTTTTAGAGTACTTGAGGTTGAACCTAGGGGTGCTCTACCACCCTTAGCCCTTTTTAAAAAATTTTTGAGACAGGGTCTCAGGAAGTTGCCCAGGCTGGGAGGATTACAGACAGGGGTGTGTGCCACTGTGCCTGGCAACATTTCTATCTTTTAAAATGTCCTTCTTTAGACAGATTAGGGAAAGTAAATTGATAGAGATTGTGCCTTTGAGGTCTGGTACACACGGAGTATATTTCTTTTTACTTAGTGATGAACAGTAAAAATGATTATCATTTCCCCAAACCGTCTTTCCTTGCTAAATGTTAAAGTTCCTGATTGTTATGAACACTAGACATGGTATCCACTCAGTTATAGTAGTTATTATGATGAATGACTAATATAACTCCTCCCAGTAACCATTGGGAGGAGTTATTGACATGCTAGTTTGGAAACAGAACTTGAAACCAGCATGTCTGGCATCCATACAACATGAGGAAATCCACTTGGCCATGGGGATATTTTCCATGTGACTGAGTGCTTTGTATAAAGCCATGTTTACAAAGACCTGAAATGTTGTAGGGAGTATAGAACAGTCCTTGAGTGACTGAATTCTATTTTTACAGTTCCTAGACTTGAAAAAGCGTCTGTATTTCTTGTTCAGTGAACATTATCTGACATTCTTGTATCGGTGAGTCATGATGTTACAGTTCCCAGTGTGGTAAGGTGTGGAACAGGCCCCTGTTAGGTGTGTTCATTACTGCATAGATTGTTCATCAACATTCATACATTGTGCTTAGATCTCATCTAGCAGCTCCCAATCTTTGTATGCAGCTCATCAAAGGGAGCACCAGGAGAGAGCTTTTTTGCTGCTTAGTCTTTGCATGGTGAAAAAACAGTGCAAACTTTGGTGACTGAGGACACACAGAAATGAATTCGGAAGAGAGAAAGATTTGGCCCAGTGCTTCTGTGGCCTGGACCACATCTGGGTTTGAGCTGGGATTGCAGCTATGTCACCAGGAGCAGAAGGTAGCTCATGATGACAGGCTCTGGGAGCAGCCCTGAGATGAGCCTGGCAGGAGGTTCCCTGGATCTGAGTTTGTCTTCATTCTGCTTTGGTTTAGATGTTGATGAAAGGGAGGTGGGTTGATATTAACTAACGCCTTTTCACCTTGGGGTCTGAACATCTGACACATCAGCTAAGGCACTTGCATCTGCTTGTTAAAGAAAATACTTGAATGTTTGTTGAGTGAAAAGTAAAACAAACAAAGCTGTTTATCTGTGAGGAACTGGGTCAGCTTTTAGTCTTCAGTGGAATTTGTGAAACATTGGTTTTTGTCAGCTGTGGGAATAATTGGAAGGATGAAAACAATAAGTGCCTTGTTTGAGAAACTGTTGTTCATATTTGCAAAGATCCTTTAGGTCTAGAAAGATGTGTGCCTTATTATCTATTCATGCACTGTGTGCCACAGAGTGGATCAACCTCTCAAGGCTGAGCTGTCTTGAATATCAAGGCAAAATGTACAACTGCAAGAAGCTTGCAAGAAAGCCAATTGAAATGTAACTATTAGGAGACAATTCAAAGTGATGAAATTATTCTAATATGCCACTTTGAACCCAGTTTAAGATATTTGCTATATTTAGAATTCCATTTCTAGGTTATTTAATTAGGATCCAAATGAGTGTCAAAATAACAATTAAGAAAAACAGGAGGACTCTTTCAAACTTTTGAGTGTATCAGTTTTCAAGTTGTTAAAACTTTCTAGAAGATTAAGTAGAATGTCTGATACAATTCAAATATAAACTTGGCATATACAGCTTGTTGTGATTTTTTAAAAAAAATAGTTACTTATTCTTTAGTTTTAGTTGGACACAATACCTTCACTTTATTTATTTATATGTGGTGCTAAGGATCGAACCCAGGGCCTTGCACATGTGAGGCAAGCGCTGTACCACTGAGCCACAACCCCAGTCCTGTTGTGATTTTTTTAAAAATTTTTTTAGTTGTAGGTGGACACAATACCTTTATTTACTTATATGTGGTGCTGAGGATTGAACCCAGGGCCTCATGCCTGGTAGGCGAGCATTCTGCTGCTGAGCCACAACCCCAGCCCAATTTTTTTTTTTTTTTAAATATTATTTGCCTACAAAAAACAGTGAAACCCTTAGGTAGAAATCTATAGCATACATATTGTCAGCTTTGGAAAGTGTTTTGGCTAATGGGGTATTTTAAGTCTCTGTCATTTATGTGTATGAACACGTATTCATCTCCCTTTCTGAATGATGTAATTCTCCTGTTTTTCAGTTTTACAAAGAACCTTTTCACTGCATAAAGCACACTCGATAAAGGACATGGACAATACCTTTCAGCTGGTGAGAAACATTATCCCTGCTCTCACTGCCAAGAAGCACAAAGGGCAAGACGGAAGGATAGGCGTAGTGGGAGGCTGCCAAGAGTAAGTGGTGGGTGTGTTCAAAAAGCCCCTCCCTCCCTACCTGTCTGCTCACCTGTCAGCCATCACTGGTCTAGTGTGAGCTTCATAATCATTTCCAAATGCCGTCTGATAAGCAGTGTTTTTCAGGATCAGCTTCCTGGTTAAAAGGGGGAGTCTGAGAAAGCCTGGTGGAACTGCTCACTGATGTGTGTCAGTGTTGGGGCTTTGCAGCTGCCCTTTCCTGTGTGGTTTTCTGTGTTTACCAGTCTTCACCAGTCAGAAACCTGTTTTTCTTTCATAACCAGGGTGAAGGCACTCTGCCGGCTCTTGGCCTACTTTGCAATTTAAAGATATTCTTGGAGTCATTTATAATGTTTAATCCTACCTTTTTCCCAGGCCAATCTTATCTTCTGCTTTTATATACCTTTGCAACTGTGTTTTACACAAAAGATTTACAAACTTTCCTGTGTATAAGTGAAAGCAGTCCTATACTGGCTGCTCTGTTTCAGCTTGCTTTCTGTTCCCACTTATATGATATCTCTTGGTCAACCTGCATTTTCAACCATTTTTCATATATTTAGGTGTATTTTATTATAAATGTATAGCCAGATTTTGTTTCTTAACCCAAAACTACAGTGAATAAGTTTAGCTGGTGGCCACCCTTTCCACCCAGGAAGCAGCATGGGAAAAATGTTGGAGATGTGTCCCCTCTTACTCATCCATGTGACTCCCAGGCCCATGTGGCCCTCTTTGACCTTATGTCACTGTTGGACGCAGAAATCCCACCTGAACACTTACCATAAATTTAACTGTATTGTGAGATGAACCACGTTCATTCTTCTGCTTTCCCTCAGATTAGTCTTTGGGTAGGGATACTTTGACCCCTGGCATCTCCCTGCAGAGTGATTTCTTGCGTGGTTGCAGATCCTCTGGTGTCGTGCTATGGTGGGCAGTGGCTGCAGGCTGCAGCTCCTTAGGAGGTGGTTGAAATCTAGATGTTAGCTAGATTTCTGTTAGCTTCCATTTTGCACCTTGGAATTCTGACACGAGTCCTGTTCTCTTTGATCTCTCAGTGGTGTTTTCTTGCTTGGATGTTTGTACAGTTCTCCAGGCTGTCTGGCTGTGTGGTTTTACTTGTTGTCATCAGTCTGAGCAGTGCCTGAGCCGTTAGCCCCCTCTGGTGAAGCATCTTGCCTGGGTTTCTGGTGCTGCACTCTCCTCTCTCTTATGCCCCTCCTGTGCATGTTGGGTCCCTGGATCTGCCTTCCATGTTTGGCACCTCCTTCACAGTTTTCCTCTATGGCTCTGCCATTTCCGTGTTCTCCCGCTCGACCTCGTCTTACTCCTGTTTCTCCTGGACCCAGTCCTGCTGATGTTCAGGTTAGCCCTTTCTCCTCCCACTTCCTAGGGAGTGCATTTCCTTCTGCTGGCTCCTGACTTTGTCAGTTCAGGATGTCTTTCACAGCAGGAGACTCCAGGATGAGCCCCTCCCATACACACACACCCTTTGGAAGATAGCAGTTTCTGCAGTGTGAGTCAGCTGGCCAGCAGTCTGTCCAGGAAGGGTGTGAAAACTCTGGCACAGAAAGGCAGTTCTTCTGCCTTTGGAACGCTGGGTTCAGGAGATAGCCCTCTCCTGATCTCAGGACTAGAGGCCACCTATGTAGCCCCACTAAGCCTCATAGGGAAAGCCTTTGGGTCCTTCCTCCCCAGAGTCAAGAGTCATGTAGCACTCTAGGGTAGAGTTACTTAATGTGAAAATGCCTATTCGACTAACCTTGGAAAGAAGAAACACCTCTGTTCTGATTATAAAAGTAAAGTCTGCATGTAGAAATCTGAACGCTAGAGCAGTGTGTACAGCGAGCATCCTGTGGTGTCCCCTGTGATAGCAAACACCACATATGCGCTGTTAGCCTTCCCAGGCTGCTAAGATGTGCACTGTTTTACTAAGGGGGCCGTGGTGTAGATGCTCTGTTTCATCTCGCCTTCTCACCTTGCATTCTTTTCTGGAATCTCTCTCTGCTGATTCACATGTGTTACTTATTGACAAGTGGGTATGTGGTGCTCCCTGCCAGGGTGGGCCAGGTGTTGAGATCCACAGCCGAAGGGGCCCCAGCAAACTTCCAGTTTAATTGGTCCCCTGTTGGTGAGTGGCTAGCTGCTTCTGCTTATCTTTGGTTAACGTGTAGCTGTGGACATCCTGTACACATACATCCTTGCATACCCATAGGTTATTTCTGAAGGATCCAGTCTCAAGAACTTTCACTGGGTCAGAGTTCATTTCAAGCACTAGTAAACCTTGCTCCACTCTCCTCCCCAGCCCAGATTGCACTCTGGTGCACTGGTAGCCAGCCGCCCTGCTCCTGTGGGTGTGGGCGAGGGAGTGGGCTTGCTGGCTCTTTTGGCTAAGGCTCCACTCTTTGTGGAGTGAGTGCATGTGTTGCCTATTTTGTCCTGTCTTTTGCACTTTTGACACTTTCTGGTGACACTGATTTAGAGAAGGCCATGTTTGGAGAGTGTGTGCAGCATTTGTCCCCAGTTTGCTTCACTGCTTGAAACGGACATGCCAGTTTCAGTAGCTCATCTGATGCCCTAGGCAAGGGTCTTCTTTCTGTGCTTGAGGTAACAGTAAGCACAGTCACTCACACTCACACTGAGCATTTGCTGGGTGTCTTGCTGTAAGAACACAGAGATAGTAGTAAGATGAGAGCACTGGGCAGGCACAGTGCTCATGTGGCCCCCATCTGGCCTCTGGGGTCCTCTTGTTCTGGGGCCTCGGTCCTCTGGCTCTGGGGCCTGGTTTTCTCCTGACTGCCCTAAGCTGGTGGACATCTCTGCCTTCTGTCCTGCAGAAGCCTGCAGCCAGCTCTACCTCATCATGCTTGGCACAGAGACCATGAGAGGTGGCATCAGTGATTAAGTCACCTGAACTAGCGTGTGTGCTCCACATGTGGTGCAGAGGTGTTGCACACAAGAATAAGGCTTTCCTGACTCTGACCCGTGTGACCATTCACTGAGCATTTGCTAGGTGCTGGGTATGTGCTGTGTGCCCCATGTTGGAGTCATTTATTGATAATTTATATATTTTTATATTTATTATCTGTATTTTTATTGATAATTTGTTATTTACTGTTAAATGTGTATTCTCACTTGCAGAAGTTTTTTTTTGTTTTGTTTTTCTTTTGACTGTTAATATCTTCATTTTAGGTATACAGGAGCCCCATATTTTGCAGCAATCTCAGCTCTCAAAGTGGTAAGTTTACCTAAAACTACTTTATTGGGGATTTTTGATAGAGTTGGGTTATTTAAATATGATTAAAGAAAATGGTTAGGATAGAATTCTCAGTAACATTTTAGAGTAGTTATAGGTAATAGAAACACCTTTAAATATATCCTGACTTCCTGTACAATAACAAAATAACTCAATTGAAATACATTTAAAAATAAATAAAGTTTTAGTCTCATTTTACTTCACCAGAATGACACTGGGATGCCTTTTTTTTTCTTTTTTTAAATAAGTAAGAAATTGATGACTTTGCTTTTTATATTATTTTATTAGAACTTGGAATTGAACCTAGGCTTTACCTTTTTATTTTTTATTCTGAAATGGAGGTCTCACTAAGTTGCCTAGACTGGCCTGAAACTTGCAGCCCTCCTGTCAGCCTCCTATGTCCCTGGGGTCACAAGTTTGTGCCACTGTGCCCAGCCAAAGTCGATGCCTTTGAAACTGGCCATTTCCCACGCATTTGATCAAGTTGCATGGCCCAGGTAGTGTGGAGTGGCTGAGCTGATATGGCTCTGCCCTGCCTGCAGGTGGCAGTAGTCATCTAGCTTTGTCTCCAGGCCTTGTCTTCTGCTGCCTGCCTTCTTTCTGAGGCCATCTGGTTGTGGTCTAACTGCAGAGTTGTATTGGTCTTTATGTGAAGTAAGTTCTAAGTGACTGGGGTGGTTGTACGTACATGCCATGGGCTGAGCAGCTTGTGCCTGACGCTGCTTATGGGGCCTGTGGAGGGCAACCTGCTCAAGTTGGCCTCTTGTCTTGTTTCTCAGGGCGCAGATTTGGCTCATGTTTTCTGTGCCAAGGAGGCGGCGCCTGTGATTAAGTCCTACAGCCCGGAGCTGATCGTCCACCCAGTCCTGTGAGTCTGGACAGGTGGATTCTCTTTCTTGCAGTAGCTGTCCTCAGCCCCTGAGCATTTCTAAGCCAACACTGAGTTCTGTTAAGTTCCTACTGTGCTCGGAATTGGTTGATAGGTGCTATCAGGTATAAGAAAACCTTAGTGAATCTGCCTGTAGTTCTGTGGTAGGTCAAGACAGACAGTGAGACCACAAAGGGAGAAACATGGGAAAATGGTGACTGTCAATGCCAGTATATTTTATGCAGATGTTCTGGCCTGTCAGGAGTGGTTGGAGGTTCCAAGGTCCAGGGGAACTCTTGTATGGACAGGGTTGCCTATGGCAGAAAGCAAGGGGACCATTGGAGAGTAACAAGACCCTTGTCTCATTCAGCAAGCTTCCAGGTGGCAGTAGATGTCTGGCTTTATTTCCAGGCATTGTCTTCTGCCTGTCCTGTGGTTTAGCTGCATTTATCTTTATGTGGAGTGAGTGCTGAGTGACTGGAATGGTTGGACTTCTTGGGCTGGGTTCAGTGGGTTAGTAGTGAAGTGAGTGACTATTTGCTCCCAGGGCTTCCTGAACTTCCCTTGACAATGTCCATGTTCTCTGTACTCTGCAGGACCATGCATGCCACTGAGCACTGAAATGTAGCTGGTGGACCTCAGGAACAGAATTTTTACTTCTGTTCCATTTCAGTTACATTAGTGTTTGTTGGTACCTGCTGCATTGGGCAGCACTGCTCTGGAGACAGACAAGTGAGATCATAGTATGTCAGGTGGTAAGAGGACCATGGAGCCAACTGGTGATCCCCAACAGGGGACCAACAGGTGAGGGATAGGGAGGCAGCACAGAGTGACATTCTAGTGAAATCCGTGGATTCCTGGGGAAGCTTTTCCACAGTCTAGGAATGGCCTACATCTATGACAGGGAGTGCTCATGTGGGTAACCGGAGATTCAGGGTCAAACCCTGCAATTGTGGGGTCATCATAAGGGGCATGCAGAGGCTTGTCAGCTGCTTTTAGGTATGGGCTCTTGTGGCCAGTGTGGTAAGGATCCTACCAGTACATAGGCAGTGCAGTCAGCGTGCAAAGGGACCCTATGCAGGTTTATCAGGAAAATAGGGCCCCCACCCCCTGGGATTGGCTGGCAGATGTGATGGAAAAGGCCGGCAGCCCAGTACCCTCAGAGCATATGTCTGAGTGAGTTTTCATTGACTATAGTGGGGGAAAGGTAGCGGTTATGTGGGGATGAAGTTGTTGTCGGTTGCCCTTAGACATCTTAAGTGGACATGGACGTGGGTGATAGGTGTCAGGTTGGAGTATGTGGCACGGGAAGGCTTTGGTTTGCCAGTCATTCACATGTAGACAGAGATTGGAGCCTGAGGCTCTAGCTGGGAACAGAGAACGTGGATGAAGGAAAGAACAGGGTGGGGTAGGATGTCCAAAGTCAAGTTGAGAACTATTTGGGGGTATTTCTAGAAGGGCCTGTGCCTCTGAGGGTCATTTTAAGAGAAAGACTAGGAATGATGGCTGCATCTCACCATGGGGTTGTTGGTGACCTTGATAGGTAGCTTATAGGGAGCAGAGGGGACAAGGACCTTAACAGAGTGGGCTATCAGAATCTCTGAGCTGGGATACTGTGCAAGAAGGTGAATTGAGATGATGACAAACCCTGTCTGTCCTGAGTGGGCATCAGCAGGGCAGGACCAGGACGTGGGGTACATCTCACGTAGGGCCAGACAGTATGAGGTGCATGGTGTGCCTCCATGTGTGTGAGATGGAAACTGGTGGAGGGCAGGGGTAATCTCAAAACTAGTGTCATGATGACTTACCCTAACTTGTTTTAAATGTTGAAAGCTGTGCACGTGAATTGGGGCACTAAAAATCAACCAGTCCGTGGAGATTAAGATGTGATGCCTAAATGCAGTGCAGTATCTGGATTGCCCTTGGAACGGGAAAGGATATCAGGCCAGGGCAGTTGGTGAATCTGACACAGTCCTCTGGCAACATGCCTCTTCTGACTTGTTGTTGTGATGAGATAATGTGGGTGTATGCAGTGTTAACTCAGGGGATGCTGGGAGAAGGAGACATGGTAACTTTCTGCATTGTTTTTTCAAATTTTCTGTCAGTCTGTTTTTTCAAAATAAAATTTTTTAAAACACAACTAAATGTAGATATTAAGTAAAGCATTCTGACCTTTTCTTTACTAGTGACAGTCCCAATGCTGTTCTTGAGGTGGAAAAGTGGCTGCCCCGGTTGCATGCCCTTGTCGTGGGGCCTGGCCTAGGTAGAGATGGCCCCATCCTCGACAGTGTCAAGGTAAGTTGTAGCATGGCCACTCTCGGACTGTGACCTTGTGACCTTGGAGTGCAAGCCTTGCCCTCATGTTCTTCAGGCATAAATAGTGCATTGTGGGGCTGAGGATGTGGCTCAAGTGGTAGCGCGCTCGCCTGGCATGCGTGCGGCCCGGGTTCGATCCTCAGCACCACATACAAATAAAGATGTTGTGTCCGCCGAAAACTAAAACAAATAAATAAATATTAAAATTCTCTCTCTCTCATCTCTCTAAAAAAAAAAAAAAAAAAAAACAATAGTGCATTGTACAGCCTTCCTCAGCCTCCTCTTGGAGTAGTGAAGATGGGTAGATGTGTGAGGGGTTGCGGGGCAGCGAGGCCAGCGGTTCCCAGGCTGCCTGGGTCTCCTCTTTACTCTGGGTGTTAGCAGTGACGCTGAGCAGCAGGAGTGGCTTTGTCAGTGTGGGGCTGCTCAGAGGTTTCCTGTCTCATGCAGTGTGGGGCTGTGCAGAGTTGAGTGGACAGAAGCTTGGTGTCAGACACAAGTGCCCTCCTCTGGCTGCCCCTCTTGCTGGGGTCCCTGGTGGTCACCCCACCAGGCTGTGAGAGCCATGTATTGTAATGTGCTGAGTGCAGTGCCAGATGGGCAGGCACACTTGAGGACACTGTTGTGAACCACCCTAGCTGGGGTAGGGCATCCTGAGGGCTGTTTGGAATCATCACTTTGCTTTCCTAGGAGTTGGGCATTTAGGGAATGATCCGGAAGGGCGCTGCTGACTGCAGCTTTGTTGGTCTCATTTCTTAGCCACATGCTTCTCCTTCCTTTATTGAGGTCCTCCTCAGGTCAGAGAACCCTGGACTTTGGGTCCTGGGCCTATTGCTGTGTGGCTTTGCTTCTCCTGTGCCTGCCTTGTTTCTCAGCCCAGTCACCTGTTTTCAAGACTCAGGTTCTCAGGCAACAGGGCCTCCAGTTCGTACCATGTGTACACACGCGTGCATGTGCACACACATTACTCCAAGTTCATTTTATGCCTGTCTTCATTTAAAAAGATGAACTTAGGCTGGGGACATAGTTCAGTTGGTAGAGTGCTTGCCTCACATGCACAAGGCCCTGGGTTCAATCCCCAGCACCATGAAAAAAAAATGAGCATTTTTTATTCTAAGAAATTGAAATGTACATAAATACCTGGGATTGGGGAAGAGGAAGACAGGCTGAGCCGGCATGCCAGCTTTGTGTTCTGAATCTTCGCTGCCCAGTGTTCCTCTGGGAGCACTCCCACCTCCTGGGCAGACATGTTTCTGGAACTCCCCTCCAAGAGACTGTCCTAGCTGCCCGGCACCTGCCCACACTGCAGCCTGGGAGAAGCAGCCGTGTGTTCAGGACTATTGGGTTTGGGTCTTGACCCCTCCCTGTGGGTGCCACTGTGCCTTTGTGTGCAGTGGTGCTGTCCCTGCCAAGGCTGGGGAAGGAGCCTCACATCCGTGACTGGCTACTTGGTGTTCATTGGAATCAGCAGCACATTGGATGGGTCTATGTCCCTGTTATTGCCATCACCTCAGTACTCCGTTGAATGCCTCATTTGCTGAGAGGGCTTGAAGAGGTGACTCATCTCCCTGTCCCAGGGTTGAGCACTGTGGCTGCAGGGGGAGGACACGCTGGGGAGGGGTGCTGTCACCGAGGGGCTGTTCTCCGCTTGGCTTTTGCCTTTCAAGTGAGAGAGACAAAAGGTTCACAAGGCAGGCAGGCATGAGGAGCTATTGGGTTGGGTGGGCTTTCCTGGTAGGGCCCGGTAAAACAAGTTGTAAAAAGGCAGGCGAGCATTTGCTTTACCAGACTTTCTCAAGAGCAAGGCTTAGAGATATCTTCCATGACCAGTCTTCCAGTTCCAGCCTGTAGGTTGAGAGTTGGGGTTTGAAATGTTCCTCAGACTCATGAATTATCAGAATTGTCACTGAGGGGAAGCTAGCTCTGGCAGGTGACAGGGACTGGGAGAACTAGAATTGAATGATTTTGTTTTTAAAACTTTAAAACTGATATAGAGGGTTGATACAGCTCATTATTTTTCTTCCAAAGGGATAGTGTCCCTTCCGAAGAATGTGTCCCCTGCTATGCCTGGTGCCTGGAGAATTCTTGCAGATACTTCTGTGTGTCTCTTACTACTTTGGATTTGAATTTTTTGATCATATTTTTTATTGGAGCTTTATAATCATGTGTCCATTTAAAATGAATACTTCATTGGTTTCTAGTGTGATTCATAGAGTTGTGCAGCTATCACCACAGTCTATTTTAGAATCTTGTTATTACCCCAAAAGGAAACCCCAAGCTCATTAGCATTTGTCCCCTGGGCCCCACTCCCTCCCCAGTGCCTGGCAGCTGCTAACCAGTTGAAGTGAATGGCCCATTCTGAACATTGTGTTTGAGTGGACTCATACAAAACAGTAGCTTTATTCCCTCAGCATGATTTCTCTGGACTTGGCCTGGCATCCTGGTTGAAAATCAGTTGGCCTAAGGGTGAGGGTTTATCCTGGACTCTCATCTCTGCTGGGTCCTGTGCCTGCCCTTGTGCCCCTTAAGATCATCAGCTTGTTGATTTGCAGAATTGGCAGCTGGGATTTCAGTAGAGATTATGTTGACTTTGTAAATAAAGCACATAAAGCATTACAAAAAATACGTAACTAATGATTTGGGGCATTTCCAAGATTCTTATTTCTTATCTCTGAATCCTGTTGGGAATCTGGAAACACTAGGTGGGTCTTCATGGACTAGCCTAGGAACCCAACTGCTGTTTTCACAGTTCTCTGTTCCCTGCCTTACTATGGGGCTCTTGTCAGATCTTCGGGTCTTTCCTCCTGTTTCTTTGGTTCATTAAATGTATTATCTTGTGTTTATCTGTTGGTGACCTTATGTTACCTTTTATTGAAGCACAGCTTGGTTTTCTTTAATTCCTCTTGAGAGGTGGCTGGTTTGTTAATCAGTCTGTTTTCTTTTGGGGCAGGGTATTTTGGAATCATCCAAGGCCAGAGACATCCCTGTCGTTGTTGATGCGGTGAGTGTGGCCTCCCCTCTTCCCATACAGTGAGCGCAGGGCCTCAAGGGCCTGCCCAGTGAAAATACATTCTCGTTGTGCACAGGATGGCCTGTGGCTGGTAGCTCAGCAGCCAGCTCTCGTGCATGGGTACCAGAAGGCTGTCCTCACTCCCAACCACATGGAGTTCAGCAGGCTCTATGAAGCTGTGGTGAGTTAGGGGCTTCCTGTGGGACAGGAACTGAGGGGAAGGGATGGCCTGTGTGGTTCTGCCAAGCCTGTCCCTATAGGCCCATCTCTGCAGGGACACACTCACAAATGCCTAGTAGTTGTGTTTCTGTGGATTCCCACATGCATGTGTTTCACACTCTAATGTGCAACACGATGCCTCTTGCACAGCTGGGTGCTTCTAAGTGAGGGAATGATGGTGGGGTGGGCTTGGGTCAGCTGCCCTTGCTGCACACTCTGGCAGGTTGCTCCACTCTGTTCTGCAGTGCCTCATCTGTGAAACGTGGAATGATGGCATTTGCTTCAAAAGATGAGGACAAAATGAAGCAGCTCATGATATAGCACCTGTCTTCACACAGCAGGTGTCCTGTGAACATTAACTCTCATGATTCAAATGTCTATTATTTCTGAAAACTTTCTGGTCTGACCAGGTAAAGGACAGGTTCTAGAGCAAGTGTAGTTTAAGCATCTGCTGGGAGGACTTGCTATAGGTGTATCTGTCAGCCTTGAACAGGTGCCTGGCTATTCCTTTGGACACAAGCAGCTGAGGCTCGTGGTGGATGGGACAGAGCTATCTGTATGTGGTGGCCCCTTTTGCCTGTCGGGAAGACTTGAAAGACTTGGTTTTCTGGTTGTCTTCCTGTGTCATAGCTCAGAGGTCCTGTGGACAGCAGTGACCCCCGTGGATCTGTACTGAGACTCAGCCAGGCCCTGGGGAATGTGACAGTGGTCCAAAAAGGAGAGCATGACCTGATCTCTGATGGCCAGCAGGGTGAGTGGGGGCTTCCCTCTGCATGGCAATTCTGCGTGGGCATACAGGGTAAGCCTTGGAGAACCTGGTTCAGAGTCAGCCCCAGCGGGTGAGTCCTGGTTTTGACTCCTCGTTGTTTTGCATGGGAATGTGGTAGCCAGGAGAGGGGTCAGGCCATGGCTGCGGGGATGGACATGTGCCTAGGCCGGCCTGATGAAGCATCTGGTAGGAAGGTGCTGCTGTGGTCAGCATCCCAGCCTCCTGCTTCACTCTCAGTGGGGCATCCACATTGTTGAGTTTCCTGCTGTCTTGTTAAAATGACCAGGAGATGAGGAAAATCTTGGAGCTGATGTTATTAGTGGAGTCCCAGGTGCCTTCTCCTGCGCCTAAGGGCTATGCAGCAAGAGCAAAGTGGAGACTTGCTGTGAGCGTCCAAGAGAGCCTGCGTGTTACTCTTCGCTCTGAGAGTAGAAGTCACCCCTCTTCACTGCCTAGTGGACCACCATAATAGGTCCTTTTTAACAAGGAACTGTTAACAAGAATGTTGCTGATTAGGAACTTGAAATCAGGGTAAAGGAGCACTGAGATACATGGGGTGGGTGTGTGCACACGTGCACACTCACATGCACACATACATTTATAGAAAAGGTGTGTTCTCAGAAGACTGGAGACCTTTGAGACAAGGCTCTTATAACCAAAGGAACTCTTGATTATAACAGAGACTAGAGCTTTGGATTTTCAAAATATTTTCCAAAGAAAGAAAATTCCCAGAAGTATAGGCACCTGTAACATTACAGCAGTTAACAGAGGCGTCTGTGCAGGCTGACTTGGAGTGTGTTGCTGTGTTGGTCGGGGTGCACCTCAAGTTGGGGAGGCAGGCATGGCATGTGTCTGGGGAGCGGGCTTGGGCTCCAGAAGCTGGGCATGAAGGAATCACCTCGTGTTCAGCTCCTCTTCTCGGCGCCTTCTCAGTGGTCTGAGGTAGGTGTCTCTGCTGCCTGTGGTTCAGGACAGCCTAGGCTAAGTGCTTTTTTCTTCCTCTGGAAACTAGAAGTCAGCTCGCATCCTTGTGAGAACCAATAGGGAAGAGCTGCGGGCGGCAGGCAAGTGGCCGCGGACTGCAGTGCCAGTGTCCGCACTCAGCATCTCTCGTGTTCTCTGTAGTGCTCACGTGCAGCCACGAAGGCAGCAGCCGCAGGTGTGGCGGACAAGGAGACCTCCTGTCGGGTTCCCTAGGTGTCATGGTGCACTGGGCGCTCCTCGCTGGGCCCGAGAAGACAAATGGGTACGCCATGTCTGCGTTTGTCCTACTTTAGATTAATTTTGTTAGCTGTTTGAATAGCATGTACATTGAATCCCTTGAAAGGTTCCAGATGAATGACCAGGATTACATGGAAGATGTCCCAGGGCAAAGGTCAGCCCTGTCCATGGAAACTGTTGCATGTACACCCAGGCCTAGGCCTCAGTCCCATCAGGCCGTGCAGAAGGGCCTGGGACAGCACTGGGTTTCACAGCCCCAGTAATTCTGCTGAGCGATCACAGTTAGGGGCACTGTTCTGGGAGTTCAATTGTGGACTCTGTAAACCAAAATATTAGGGTAAAAAGCAGACAGTCTGAAGGGTGACCATGGTGGCTGCACATGCTGCAGGGAGGACAGCCAGCCTCTGGAGGCCCCATTTGTCATCTTGGCAGGACACTGCTGGGATGGTAATGTTGCCACAGCTGTGCATGAAAACCCGGGACTACACACCCAAAATGGGCGTATCTGTGTGGACTTGGGCTTTGCTCAGCTATGCAGGGCAAAGGTACAGAGGGCTGCTCTAGCTTCTTCCTTGTCCCAGGGTATGCACTGTGGAGAACCAGCACTCTGGCCTCAGGCATTCCTCCAGGCCCACAGGCACAGCTACCAAGCTTCTGAGGGGAGATGAGTCCCTCTCCCTTCTTACCTGCCTCCACCATGTTTCAGAGGTGCCTTCCACCAGGGAATTCGGTATGCAAGCAGTTGAGCTTCTGTTGGCTAGCAGAGCCCTCCTCGGGCCTGGCTGACTTGAGATTGCAAGTTGGACTCTTAAGGGTAAAATGTGGCCCGCCGTGGCCACAGCCCACCATGCCCCTTGTGCTGCAGGCTGGCCATGTGGAGGCCTCTTACGCGCCCCTTCCCTCCTCCCAGCTCTAGCCCACTGCTGCTGGCTGCCCTGGGCGCCTGCTCCCTCACAAGGCAGTGCAACCACCAGGCCTTCCAGAAGCATGGCCGCTCTACCACCACCACCGACATGATTGCAGAGGTCGGAGCCGCTTTCAGCACACTCTTCGAGACCTGAGCAGCACAGCTGGAAGAAAAGTGGCACCATGGACTGGGGAGTGCACCTGAACTGGAGACCTCACATCTGCGTGCCAAGCCCTCAGTGCCCAAACAGCCGGTTGCCTGGGAGGGTTTTGCCTCAGTGTAAATTGGTTGAGTAGAGAACTTGGGAATTTGGGTCATAGCATTTTCTGTCTGGACTGAACATGTAGTTGGGAATGTTATGACACTGAGCAGAGTCTTCCTGCAGTTTTCTGAGGCTTCTCAGCAGGTGCTGAGGAGAAAAAAGAGGGAGGCCTGTGGGCCACCAGCTGGGCTTCTGGGCTGCTGAGAGTGGCACTCACCGGCCCCCAGCCAGGCGCTGAAGATCTTCTCTCCCCCTGGTGGCTGCTCCTTGTGGAGGACCGACATTCCTAGATACCTATGGGAAGGCCAAGTGTGGTCTTAATCGAGGCCCACCAAGGATGCCACCCTCATTCTTGATCTCATTTTTCTTCTCCAGTGCTGATTGGATGTTGTTGGTGGTTAACTTTAATTAAAGTGTTTCAGAATTATCAGTGATAAATGTCCCTTGAAATCTTTTGGAGGCCCCATGGGAAGACCGAATGAAACCTGGGTGTTGCCTACACCTGGAGGGGCAGTGGGGAGCCCGAGACGCCTACAGCCTTCTCTGTTCTGCGCACATGCACTTCCCTGTGATGTCCCCGTGGTGGATGACACCCCAGCACAGGAGCATGACCCAGGAGGCTTGTGTCCTGTCGCTGATGTGTTGGACATCACTGTCCTGGGAGGAAGTAATCAGGCTAGACTTTTGGAAATGTCAGCCTTGCTGGAGCTACTAGGGTGACAGCATGAAGGAGGCCCCAGGGAAAGACTGATGTCACTGTCACTTCTACTTTTCAGTAATATGACTGGTCCACCGAAGAAATTGTTACCTCTGAAGTCCAGTAAAAAAGACATTTTACTGCACTATTAACGTTGGGTTAACTTGTGTTTTGTGATGTGGTATGTCTGACACTCTTGATATGTGGCCCCATTTCTCAGAAGATGTGGTCCTTGTGTTTGAGTGTGCTGAGACCTTGATGTGCCTTCCTGCCTGACTCCTGAGGGCTTTCTGCACTTGGTGATCACTCTCTTCAAAATGGTCTAGATGGGGCTGGGGTTGTAACTCAGTGGTAGAGTGTTTGCTTAGCACATGTGAAACACTGGGTTCAATCCTCAGCACCACATAAAAATAAATAAATAAATAATAAAGGTATCTTGTCCATCTATCTACAACTTAAAAAAAATTTTTAACAATGGTCTAGATGGTTATACTTCCCCCCCACCAAGTACTGGAACCCAGAGTTTTATACATGCTAGGCAAGTGCTCGCCCAGTGAGCCACAGCCCTAGCCCTTTTCATTTTGAGATGGGGTCCCACTATTTGGCCCCAAACTTTCAGTCCCCCTGCTTTAGACTCCTGAGTAGCTGAGATTGTAGACAGATGGTCATGCTTTCTTTAAAGGTAGTCAACTTCCAAGATTAAAAATGTGCTACGGTTATGTCAAACTTTAGAACCTATCTATATCTGAACTTTCTGGAAGAATTGCCTTGGAAAGCAGAAAAAGCCTGGTGGCTGTTATAGCCCTGGCTTATTTAAAGGTGGAGTTTTCTCTAAGCTGTCCTGCGTGAGGACGCTGGCAGACATCAGAAGACAGAGGATGGGCCTGTTACCTGCCTGCAGCATTCTCACCACCACCTGCCAGCGTTGCCACAGCAGTCACCTATAAGCCCGAGACAGCCACCTTCCAAGGAAATAAAACTCGCCAAAGTCATAGGAACTCGTGTTTTCATTACTTAAGCTTTCACTCTGAATAAGCAAGAGTCCGTCCTTGAGGGGAGATGGTGGTTGTCACCTGGGTTGTTTTAATGCAGCTAGCTGCACCCTGTTCTTTGACAAACCCACATACGTGCACTAGTTCAGCCAAAGACACTGGTGCTGGGAGTGCCCCCAGGACCTGGCCAGCAGCACTGGGGTGCTGGGGTAGTGCTGGAGTACTAGTCTTCCTCCAGGTGCCCCCTGGAAATCCCTCTACCTCGGTTTACCAGGTAGTGACTCCTGAATGACATACTTAGCAAAAACCTGGGTGTCCAGTGCCTTCATGGCCACAGGGCTTAAATGGAGATAGTAAGCCAGGCCATAGCTGCATGGAGCCATGTGCTACTGCAGGCACAGGATCAAGAGGGAAGGGCCAGGAGAGGCCTGGTCCAGGATCTGCAAGCTGGGGAAGCCAAAAGAGCCAGCCACCTCCTGTCCTACTTGTTTCAGAGGCAGCTATGGTCCTCCACCTACCTTTAGCCCTGTGGGACATTAGCTGTGACTCCTGTTTTCCCCTCCTCAACTCCTTCCAAGGACCTCAGCTGTTAAGCATCTGCACAGTGGGGTCCCACTCTCAGGTTCCTCCTATGCACTCTGGTTCTGGGGTGCAGAGCCAGCTCACATCCTAGACTTCTGACTGTCCAGTCTGGCTGTTGGCACTGTCAAGTTCATTTTTCGGACTTACAGACAGACACCAGTAGGGTAGCCTCCCTTCACGTCATTTCAGTACTGACTGTTATGGTTTAGATGAAAGTTCCCCAAAAGCTCATGTGAGACAATGCAATAAGGTTTAGATCCTAAAAGCCTTAATCCAGTCATTGAATCATCCCTGATGGGGATTAACTGGTCACTGAAGGCAGGTGGGCTGTGGCCTTGGAGTACATATTTTGTATCTGGAGAGTGGAGTCTCTGTGGTTCCTGATCATCATGTGAGCCGCCTCCCTCTACCACACTCTTCTACCATTATGTTCAGCCTCACCTCAAGCCCTGAGGAACGGAGCCGGCTGCCCGTGGATTGAGATCTCTGAAACCGTGAGCACCCTGATAAACTTTTCCTCCTAAAAATTTTCTGGTTAGATCTTTCAGTCACCGCAGCAAAAAAGCTAACTAAAACACTTGAGTAGCCACTGTGGAAACTTTAATATAAAGTTTTCACCAGAAGCTGCATGCTTGTGTAGGCCGATGACTGCTCCTTCCTCAGCTTCCTGGCTTCTGGTGTTTTGTCCTGGGATCCAACAGTTCCCATGTGGAGATAGTGCTGCTTCTGTCCTAGAGAAGGAAAATTTAGGTTCTGAGTAGCCAGCCCACGGGTGATGGTAACAGCAGCCAGCTTCAGGATAAAAAGAAGGATAAGTAGCACCAAGTGACTGGAGAGGCCTGCTGCTAACTTCCAGAAGGCCAGTGGGGCAGGGGAGGCTGAGCAGGACCTGGGCCTCGGGCACTGCCACGGGGGCTGAGGAATGAGTGTGTCTCAGTGGGAGACAGTGGGTCTAGCCTGTTAGCCCCATTAGGGGGACTGCACTCACCTTGATGCTGATGCCATGTGTGGCAAGGTCCTGGCGCAGGGCATCACATGCCTCCAGCAAGGGCCGCCTCTCCAGGAGCAGCTGTCGCCGGGCATCCCCAGCGGCCTCAGGTGTGGTCAGTGCATACTGCCGGACCTTCAGCCGGAAGCGCACCAGCTCATCCACCACGCTGTGCAGAGTAGCCACACTGCTGTCTCCTGAAATGCACTGAGCGCAAGGCCACACTGCAGAGTGTGCAGTGAACAAGTCTTCCTGGTAACCTAAAGCTGGCCCTGCTGGGGACCTCAAGGGGATGAGCCACGGGGGTATGGCTCCACTCCACTCGGATGAGTGCCTGTTGTCCCAGCTGAACTGAAACCCACTCAGGAGTTAAGAGGAAGGGCCCTGGAGCCCAGCCCCACCAAGGCCTTGGGAGCCATGCAGGGATAAAGCAGGGAGGTGGGATAGCGCCTCAGCGCCACCCTATCCTGTCATCTGAGGAGAGTCCACAAGTCTGAGCCTGGGGTACTCATGAGGACAAAGCCATCCACTGTAACCAAACGTTTAAGATGCTGTAGAAGTTGAATGGCTTGCTGTGTGTTCATGTGCACATACACACTAATTCAACACAGAGGTTCCTGCACTGAGGGGTGCGCAGGGCATGCGCACAGGGTGGCAGCTGCTCAGCCTGTAACCAGCTGGGTAAACATCACCAAAAGCGGGGCTTCCTATGAAAACCAGATTTAGAAGTCATGGCTCCTCCACCCCCAATTTCTACCCCTGCTGTGGAGATAAAAACGAACCATGTTTTATAACTTCACAAAGTCTACAAAGCTTCATACAACCCTCAATCACTACTTCCACAATAAGAGGACATTGGTTGCTACAGAAATGTGAGTGTAAAGTGGTCCCAGACAGCAGCCTTGAGGTGGGGGAAGGTGAATGAGTTGTTTTGATAAGGGTCAGGCACAAGTTGGCCACGTATATTTTCACTATACAGACTCTGGAAAGCCTTGTCTAAAAATGAATGTACGTGCTGTAAAGCCCTGGTCATTTCAGGTCAGTAGAGACTTGTGTCCAGACAGACCCTGGACTCGAGTAAGGCGAGCCAGTCTACCAGATGATGGGCAGGTACCTGAAGGAGCCAGACTTGGGAGCTGCTATGGAGATACTATAGTCCTCTGTTAAAACAGTCAAAGGAATTCATAGTAGTAAAAGTCCCGAGAGAAGACTCAGGGGTACAGAGGGCAACCTGGACCAGGGACCAGGCCCAAGTCCCCAAGCAGCAGGGGGGGCTCCTGGGTGCAGGTCACTGAGCAAAAATGGCAGTCCCCTGTTAAATCAGTAAACAGCTCTATCCCCAAAGCCAGCAGAAGACCCTGACAGAGATTGTAAAGGCCTCAGCAGAGATGGGCTGCAGTGCTGCCAGAGAGGGCAGGGTTCAGCCCACCTTGAGGAGGATCCTGCACATGCGCAGTGCTGGCCTTTCTGCATTAACAAGAAAAGCATGTGTGTGTATAGTGTAGAAAGGACTCTGACCGGCTCTTTCCTCATCCTTCCTGATCCGTCCTGGGTGTAGGTGCTTTTGGGTATAGCAGTGTAAGGTAGGTGAGGAGGAAGAGGGGACCACATGGGGCCTTGAAGCCCAGCGGTGTCCGTGCAGTAGGCAGCCCCAGGGGTAGGATGACAGCCCCACAGGATGGAGAGTTCCTGCACTGAGGGGTGTGCAGGGCATGCGCACAGGGTGGCAGCTGCTCAAGGAGACTTCATGAGTGGATTTGTGGAGGGGCCAGGGACTGAGATGTTGATGGTGGTCCTTGAATTGCAGTCAACATAGATGGATGTAGTGAAGTTCGATCGTATAAGTGCCCCAGCATGGCATCCAATGAGGCCTGGCGCTGCCAGCTCACCCTGTGCTCCATCTACACATCTGGAAACCCATGGCCAAGAAAAGGCCACCCTGGGAGCAGCCAACAGAGCTGCAGCCTCGCGCTTATAATTCCACAAGGACATGTCCATGGACATGGCCAGGGACCAGAAGCTTCACTAGCCACAAACCATGAAGGCCGACACACAGGGAACCTGAGTCTGTGCTGACAGAAGTGAGAGGCGGTGAGTGAGGAGGACGCACAGCCTCCCACTTACAGGAAGAAGCCCATCACAGTGAAGCCCGGCAGCCCCGCCCTTAGGAGGTGGTCCATGTGTCACCAGGAAAGGACACATGGGCCTGGTTCTGCCATCCTGTCAGAGACGCACAGCCAGCGCTGGGGCCCAGACTGAGGGAAGTCCCAGCCAGGCTGGGCTGGCTGGGAAGACCTCTCTGGGCGAGGGGAAGCCAGCAGGGTGCCTGAGAACAGAGGGGCTAGTGGCAGCCCACCACGTCTCGCACTCAGGCCAGCAGCTTTCTCTCAAATGACTTGGGACTGTGTTTACTCCTGTAGGTGTAATCTTTCTATAATTTCCAAGTCTCCAAACAAGACCGTGGCTCAGGTCAGACTCTGGCTCTGCTCACATGTCAGCCCTCAGCAGAGTGCCAATGAGGTATTGGCTTGAGTGGGTTTATTTTTGTAATACATGAACATAAAATGTTAATTTGGCAATGTAGTCATCCCTAAAATGAGCATTTAAAAAGGAAAACAGGCTGGGGTTGTGGCTCCGCAGTAGAGCACTCGCCTAGCACTTGTGAGGTCCTGGGTTCGATCCTCAGCACCACATAAAAATACATAAATAAAATAAAGGTATTGTGTCCATCTACAACAACTAAAAAATAATTATTAAAAAAAAATAAAAAGGAAAAACAGCTATTGTACCAACATGTAGGTACTCTAGAGCTTTTTAAAAGATAAAGACATACCTGTTGTTTTACTAGAGAAATTCCAACAGTCTCAAAAAATTGCTCAATGTAGGAGACGATGGCACCAAACACAGCAGGGCTCCTGGGACCACCAGGCTCCTGGAAGAAATGCACCACAATGGCTCTTAGAGCAGCCTGAAGGCCGGCAGAGCACACATCAGAGCAGCCCTCAGCGGCCCCTCTGTGGACTGAGGACACAAGCTCGCTCCAGCAACCCCAGTCTCTTCAGCAAGCCATGCCACCCGGCATATGCTGGGCAGCTCCAGGCCTCGATGCACCCGTCTTTCAGGCTCCTGTGGGTTTAGCATGGCTGTGAGTAAGTGGAAGGCCATGGGAACTGGGCTGGATTTCTAAATTTGAGTGAGAAACCCTAAAAGGTATATGGCAGGCCCCAGCACAGAGGACCTATGACAGCAGAGCCTTGTTTCTGGGAACCCTTGGAGCAGCAGAAGCTGGGGCACAACACTCAGAGGCCACCTGACCTCCCTACCCTGGACACCCTCATGACAAGGACTGCTGGCGTGGACCCCTGGTACTTGGTGTTGCCTTTAAACAGCTCAGTGAGTGCTGTGTGTGCAGTAGGCAGTGAAAGCTCCTCCGAGAACCAAGCACACTTTGCACCTGAAGAGGTGGCATACTCCAAAGGGCTGGTCCTGCAGGTGACCCTGAGGCCCAGAAAGGGTTGAGACCCTGTTAGGTGGCCAGTGGAGTTGGGGTCCCAAAGTATAGTTTCCTCCCCATTTCAACCAGCTCCAATCCACCCCATTCCAAGCCACAGACAGGGTTACCCAGTACCTATGGTGGCAACCATGCCCTCTGTGTGCCAGGAACCCATGCATGTGCTGTGTGTACTCCCATATTTACTTCTGGAGGCATAGGGTGCTGTCTCTACCAACACCAGCAGGAACTTCAGGATTCTTGCAGAAGGAAGGGCTCACTGGTACGTACCCAGATGCTGCCAGCTACAATAGACAAGTCTCTCCAGACAGCTGGCAGAGTTGGCACCTGTTCCTTCCTTATGAGAAACCCCTGACCTGTCACATCCAGCAGTGGGATGGAGGGCTGTGTGTCCTTCAAATTACCTTAGTGACTGCTCTGAGCTGTCTGTTCCCATGGTGCACAAGGTCCAGGATGGTGCCAATTGCCCTGGGTGTGTCAAAGTCATCTGCCAATGCAGCCTTCACGGCCTCCTTGGTGCTGGTGAGCCTGAGGAAGAAGGAAGACTCACTTACACCCACAGGGAACAGCGAGGACCTGGGCCTGGCCAGGCACCAACCCATGCAAAGCTCAAACCCTTCCCCAAGAAGGGCCAAGAATTGTGCTGTGGGGACCCCCTCCTAGGTCACACGCAGTCTCATCAGAACCTCATACATAACATCAGCTGCAAGTCGTGTGAGCCAAATGAGAACTCTCAAGTGGACGTGCCTGAACCCTTGGGTCTGAGTGCCCAGCATGTGGAGGGCAGTGAGAAGTGATGACTTAAGATGGCAGCTGCCCCTCAACTGACTCATCACAGAAAGGGGTGGCTAGGGGGCCACAGGTCTCAGCCCTGTCTGACCTGGTGATGGTGAAGGGCCATGGGGGGGCCACAGTCTCAGCCCTGTCTGACCTGCTGATGGTGAGGGGTCATGGGACAATGTGGAGAAACCCAGCCCCAGGAGCAGGGGAGGAGGGGAAGCACCCAGCTGCCAGCTCCAGGTGGCTCACCACAGGGGCATGAGGCGGGCCAGGCCAGACCTGCCTGGGAGCTCCTGACACTGGTCCCCAGCGGCTGTGACTTTCAGCTCTGTAAATAGGGAACACATGCCCAGAGTTACTCTGGGCAGCAGGGCTCAGGGGCCTAGAGTTGCCAGGACCACGACAGTGAGAGCCTCTTCCCCTCAGGATCCTGGCCAGTCACCAAGGACCCTCAACTGCACCATCCCCTGCTGTTCCAGGTCCCTCTCCAGAATGTATGAATAAAACCCTGTCCTCACTTGTGTCCCCTCTGTGACAGCCTCTGCTGTCTCTTTTTGCAGTCACACTTCCCCAAGAGCCAAAATCCTCAACCTTCTACTCCCAGCCCTGACCAGGGGTCTCCATGGTACCTTTCCTGCCTTCCTCCTCTACACATGGTGGCCTTGTGTGTCCCCCATATACTCCGGACACTGGAGCTGTCCCTATCCTGCCATCCCCGTCTCTGCCCTCTCCTACCTGCTAGCCACTTCCCTTGCTGTCACTGGTGTCCTCATCTCCCTCCCTGCCTTTCTGCTGGCACTGGCCCCTCATTTGTTACTGGTGCGCTCTCCTGACCCGCCTTCAGACTCTTGCTTTGGCAAATAAAAGGAGGGGCTTCTGGGTGACCTTGAGGCCGGGTGGGGCTCTGTGGCCAGCCTGGTAATGGTGAGCAGCAGTGATGGCCACTTCTGGGCCAGTGCATGAGCTGCAAGCACTATCAAGGGAGTGATGGTGGCTGCTGGTCAGCCTGGCCCCAGTGACGATGCCGAGAGGCCCTCTACTGCCCCACGGGGAGAAGTGAACACTGTCTGAGCCACTGATATTCGGCCTATTTTGTCACCAAGTACAGATGGGCCTCTCTGCCTCAATGCAAGTGACCATCCTCTATGCCTGGGTTTCCTTCTTGTACCTCCTGAACCGATGAGCAGGGCCATTATTACCCACGACAGGTAACCTGTACTCCTTCCTCCCCTGCCATGGATGGGGTCAAGGTGCTGGCTGAGCTCCAGACACAAGCCACCTCTGCACTCAGGCCCACCACTCTGGACTGCCAGACAGCTGGAGTGGCAGGCAGTCCCGTCCCCACCAACTCCAACTGAGTCCAGGTGCTTCATCCTCCTAGGAATTCTTCTTGGAGGGTATGTCCTAGTAATGTCCCAAACACAGGTGACCGGCTGGCCACAGCCTTTCCTGTCTCCAGAGAGAGCCTTTGGTGTCCACCGACCTTCAGTGTCTCCCCTCCCAGGATATTCTACCCACAGTGAACCCCAAGACTTTCACATGTTTAGTGGATGGAATGAATATGAGCACAGTCACCGTGCAGAGGCAGCAGGACTGCAGCTGTAGCAGAGCGTGCGCCTACTAAATGTGAGAGCCCCTTCCTCCCACTCACTGTCCACCCCTTAGGTGAGGCTTGGTCTCCAGCCCTCAGCCACATTCCTCCTCAGGCAACTGGAGGGCACTGGTGGGCTGGGTACCCTCGAGTTACAGTCACAGAGTCCTGTGGGCCCACCTTGCTGTGATGTGCCCATTTTTCTAATGGATGAACTCATCCCCCAACAGTGAAGTCACAGAGATGGGGACACCACTCTGCCAAGTCCAGGCAAAACCAGTCCAGGCGTATATGTTCTTTATAACCTTCACAGCCACCCACAAAAGCCCAGTGACACCACAGGCCTGCCCAAGGCCACAAAGCCAACGAGGGGCACCATGAGCTGGGAGTGTCCTGCTTCCACATTGCCTCTATTCTCTGGCAAGTAGCCCAGGTGTGGCGCCCGGAGGAGTGCTGATGACAGCCACCCTGGCTGTGGGCCTACCTTTCCCACAGCATGTCTTCCTTGACGGGGTCACAGATCAGCTGCCCCTTAACGTAGGCACGTGCGTCCTCCACAAAAGAGGCCAGCCCCAGTAGGAGCTGCCTAGCTTCCAGCATGGTGCTGTCACAGTAGTCGATGGCTGAGAAGGAAGATGGTCACTGAGGAGGGGCCCAACAGAGGCCCTCCTCACAGCATGCAGAAACCAGCAGAGAACAGGACACCTCCACCTCCAGGAACTGTGACCACAGAGCTGCCCCAACACAAAGGGCCCTCCCCCCCCCCGAAGGACAGGTGGCCCACAGAGAACTTCCACTACTTTCCACCTGAGAAGCTTTGTTTAAAATGATCGACGACGTAAGGGCAGACAGAACAACGGGTTCAGGGGCGCGGGGCATGCTGGGATTAGAAGCATCCTAATGCTTCCTCTAGGTTCTCTTCCAGCAGCTGGACCTTTCAGACATGAAAGCAACCACAGACCAAGATAGGGACTTCACCACAGGCCTGTGCTCTGCTCTCCCCAGATGCTGTCCTTTCCAAATTATAAATGAAATACTGGGGCTCTCAGGCCTCTCAGGCTTGGGAAAGCGGCGCGCCCAGCTCACCTGACCTGTAGCTGCTGCACATGCAGAAGAGCCGGAAGACTTCGGGGGAGAATGTCTGCAGAAAGTCCTAGAAAGGGAGGAATAAGCAGAGCATGTGTCACTTAGGGATCAGCAGTGACTGCAATTGAGCAGGGTGATCGAAACAGCAAGAAATCAGGAATTTTTATAAACACTTGTTTTGTCTCCAAACTTTCATGATCACTTTTTTCCTGATGATTTCTCCCGTGGAATTTTCTTTGTTCGGTTTCACTTCTGTGGAAAAGACTGAGACTAAAAAGCCCACATGCCCTGAAATTCCTGCTGACAGTCTCAAGGGGAGATTACTGTCCTACTGTGAGCCCTGGGAACTTGTGTCTGTGTCGTGAAGACACGGGGCCGCCTGCTGCCAGGTGGGCTAGTGACTGATAAGACAGTGCTGTGCACAGGGAGGGATGGCGAGGAGGCACGGCCACACTAGCAGCCGGCCACACACAGGGGAAGGAGACAGTCAAGGAAAGGCACAGCCGACGTTAACGGTCAGCACGCGCTACATCAGAGCTCGAGCCCAGTGTCCCAATGAGGGGCGAAGGCCTGCTCACCCCACAGGATGCTGTGGTCAGGACACACCAAGTGTCTCTCCAAGAGGAGACCATCCTGCCTCGGCTACCCAGAGGCCATTCACAGAGGGCCTGCACGTGGTGAACCATGACTGCTGTTAGAAAGGAAAGCAGGAGAATGCGGAGACAAGCAGGGGCCCTTAAAGCAGCCAACATTCAACAAAACCTCTCCATGTGGTGGTCAGCACTTTAGACGTGGGGCACAGAGCAGGGAAGGGAGAAGGCTCTGTCCCAGGAAAGGAACTAGGGTCTCCCCTGTTTCATTCCCCGCCACCAGGTTCACTCTGGGACAGCAGAGCTGTGGCCACTCAGCCCTAAAGCTTCTCACCAGGCCTCCCGGGCCTGCTTGACCAGCTCCCAGAGCCTCTGCAGGGGAGGAGCTGCTCGTTACATCGTTAAGTTTTTGTCTCCAGATTCCACCAACCCCTCTCCTCACCCACTGAGGCCGCAACGATGTGGGTGAGCCCCACAGGGGCTGTGGACCTGCAGTCCATGCGCCCTGCCTCCTACCTGCCACAGGATAACACAGGGGCCAACGAGGGGAGCAGGGGTAAACAAAATGGCCTGGGAGGCTGAGTCATGGAGACCAGCTCCAACTATTTGACGAAGTAGAAAACACTGTCCTGGTACTGGACCACTAAGCAGCTCTCCCAGAGAAAGCTAAATCACACTGGAGTGGGAGGCCTCCCCGGGAAGTGTGGGGCAGCCTCACCTGCTCCTGCCCAGGAAGGCTGTCCTGTGGCTGCCGGGCTGCAGAGGAGGAAGGAGGCTACAGACTCAGCTGCTTGGGGCTTGGTCCTTCCTGAGGATGAAGCGGTTAGGAGGGGAGGGGAGAGTCTGCGTAGATGGTTAAATAGTCACACGTCAGTTCTGTCAACCTCTCACTGAAATGTGACATTTCCTTCCATGAGCGATGTCAGCAACTGACCACAGCAGACGATCAGGGCCCTGGCACGCCTGCCAGGGCGGCAGACTTCTTCCAGCCCCAGTCCGTGCTGCTTGGTGGCACTGCGGTACAGCCAGCCAGCTGCAGGCTGCAGGTGAGCAGCACGTGCCTTCCTCCATGGCGTCAGCAGCGTCCCTGTGACCCCACGCCTGTGTGTATTCATAAACGTCATGCTGCAAGGAAGGGTGCAGACACCACCAGGTTGCCTGGTGTGTGTGTGTGTGTGTGTGTGTGTGTGTAGCCATGTCCAGTCTGACCCCCTTCAGCAATGACCCTGGGATTTCAAGTGCCACCTGTCCCTCTCCCATATGCTCTTTTCCAAACTGTAGAAAACATAAGACTATTTCTTTGTCACCAACAACCACAACTCATTAGGGACTCTCCGTGTCCAAAGTGCCGTGCACACTGAAGCCAACCTGACTCACTCACATGCAGTCACATCTGGCTTTCAGTCCAACTTGCTTCCTATTTAAGTCCCCACATGTCCGTGGAAATAGGCTGCTCCCAATGCAATGCAGTGACTCAAGAGAGCCGTCAAGAGACTAGCAGAGAAATGAGGAGCACTGTAGAGGCTTCATCATGTGCAGCATGCCTAGAGGTGACATAATTATGGGGACAAAAACATGAGGCTTAGAGCTCAAAACCAAGCCCTCCATGAAACGTCCAAGGCTGCACCAGCCCTGCCTGCACTGCACCCTGCTGCAGTACTGGGTCCTGGGTGCTGTGTCCACCGGGAACTTTGACCCCCGTTTTAACCCTTGAATGGTGCCTTCCTGCACGCCACAGGGCCCCATTCACAGGCCATGTCTTCCAGAACCACCTGTCTGATCTTACGGTTTGGGGTAGAGGCCCTGGTGTAGGGGTCCCCACAAACATGCAGCACAGGGACTCGGGGCCTGGGTCCAGGTCCGGGGAGTCTAGCTGGCACAAGGCATGACTGTTCACTCACGTTGGAGTTCCTGCGATTCCTTCTTGTGAGCATAGCCATGAACTGCCTCAGCCCAGAGCCTCTGCCTCATGCTGGAGTGGCTTCCTTTATTCCGTGACCGTAGAGCCTCCTCCAGCAGCTGTGCCAGGGAGTGTGTGTGCACTGCTGCTCTTCCGTCTAGCCTGTGAGGCTACGAGCTGCCTACACAGGGGCAGGAGCTGGGTTTGCCTCCTGGGACCCGCCTGGGACACCTGATCACCCACCTGTCGACAGGCACAGATGTAGTGGTGGCAATGGTGCTTGGGGACCTACGCCCTGAAATCCATGCCCTCCCCCACTCTGTTCACTCTGTGGCATTGGTGCTTAGGGACCTAGCCTGTTTGCTTTTATATATACACACACACATATATTTAGCTGTAGATCACCCTTTATCACTTATTTATTTACATGTGGTGCTGAGAATCGAACCCAGTGCCTCACACATGCTAGGCACGCGCTCCACCACAGAGCCTCAGCCACAGCCCCATTTGCTTTTTGCTCACATCGGTGCCATTAATCACACAATCTTAAAATTACAATATTAGGGAAATTTCATCTTTGATGAATTTCTCTAGTTTAAATTTCGCTTCCTTTCACAACAAATAACCAGCCCCCGTGTTTTCTGGGTAGTCATGTTCTCTGCTTCATCCCAAGAGGGATTCAGGAGGCTTCAGATGTCCCTTCCATTTGCAACCAGACTCGCCGAGTGCTCACAAACCTGTGGACGCTTTCTGAGACACCCAACCATCAAGACTGTTTCTTTTCCCCACTTGGGGTGCACTCTTACTGAGTTAGGTAAAGGGTACAAATAGAAATCCAGAACCCAATCTTTCTATGGCACTCAGTTCTACGGACTATTCCAAAGAGCAACACAGAAAGGGGGGTGATGTGCAGCGTCATTATGGGGACTGAACTGTGATGCTGTTCGTGGGCGTGAACTTCTTACTGTGCCTCTGCTCTGCACTCACTGCTGTCACCAATTTTCATGTACTACCCTGATTACATCATACAACTGGCCATAGCTGTCACAGCAAACTGACACAGTCTGGCTGGAGAATTTCAGTGGGAGGAATGTGACATGTGGGGAGCGCTGGCCAAACTACGGTGACAGCAACAAGACCTGAGAACCACTGCAAGCTCATGCGGTTCCAGGTGCACACTCGCAGGGGATGAACTAGCACTGGCAGAGTGCTCCCGTCAACCCCAGGTTGGAAGCCAGGCCCTCAGCTCTGGGCACTTTGTAGTTTCCCCTGCACATGAACCCACAACAAAGGTGTGGCTACCACTCTAAAGAAGAAACAGCAAAGACTCTGTGACGTGCGGTACAGGCAAGGTCGGGTTCAGAGCTGCCTGAGCGCAGAGGCTGAGGCTGAGCTCCTTCCACACTGACTCTGGCCCCAGCAAGTTCTGGGAAGACCCAAAATCTCCATGCAGACCATGATACGAGCCTACCTATGGACTCCACAGCAAGGAGGGTGATAGGGACTTTCTTCTGCTGGAACCAGAAAGTCAATTAACGTTTTTAACATGTGATGAAATGGCTTAAGGTCCCCGGGAACTACAGGTCCAGGGCAGATGCAGACTAGTCAAAAATAAAAGAGAAAAAAGCAAAAAAATGCATTCAGATGACTTCAGCAGCTGATAAAGAAATGTATCTTTATAATCTCAGTGCAATTCAGCACCAAATTAACAAAACAAACGTTAATCTGAATACAAGTCTTCCAACTTGATGTTGGAGGAGACCTGAAAAGTGGGCATTTCCATACACTTATGCTGAGTTACCAGGCTGTATCTAGCACCTGCGTCTAGATACAAGTCCACCTTGAGCACTGGTCATCAGAGATGGCATTCCAAGTCTGTAGGTTCCACACCCACGATGCAAACAACCACAGACCAAAAACGGCGGCTTCTCCTTGCCATTGTTGCCAGGGTGTGATGACTGCCCGCCTAACACTGACTTCTTACTAGGTATTTTTAAGTATCCAGAGAGGACTGCAGGTGTGTGGGAGGCTGGGCTCAGGTCTGTGCGCACATTTGGCTTTTTAAGGACTTGAGCATCCTTAAGGGACTTGACATCCCTGGGGGCTCCTGGAACCAATCCCTTGTGGACGCCCAGAGACAGCACTAGAGGCACTTAGTATTTAGTTAAGGATGTGCACCACTGCACCTCAAGGTCTCATGGACAAGTCCACAAGGAGGAAATGAATCATGGAATATCACTACCGAGACTCGCTATGTGGTCATTAAAAATAGAGTGTCGGGGGATGGGGCTGTGGCTCAGCAGTAGTGCACTTGCCTGGCACGTGTGAAGCACTGAGTTCGATTCTCAGCACCGTCTATAAATAAATTTTAAAACATAAAGGTCCATCAACAACTAAAAATAAATAAATAAATAAATAAAATAGAGTGCCGAGTTGGCAATATCTACAAAAAACTAAAAGGCACATCCCCTAGCAGAAAACTTGGTGTGAGCTCATTTCAACCAGTTAAGCACCCACAAGGGGCACTCAGCCTTTCAAAGGATGAGCCCGCTCCACATGGCAGAAAGGGACCACGCCAAAGATTAAGCATGTGAACAAAGCAAGAGCCAAGGGGCACAAGCCCTGTGCGCAGAGAAAGCTGCAGCAAAGCATTTCTGCAGCGGGGCACGGTGATGCAGCCTGTGATCCCGGGAGGGTCACAAGTTCAAAGCCAGCCTCAGCAACTTAGCAAGCCCTAAGCAACTCAGCGAGACCCTGTCTCTAAATAAAACACAAAAAGGGCTGGGGCTCAGTGGTTAAGCACCCCGGATTCAATCCACAGCACCAAAAAATAAATAAACTGTAGCGTCACAGATATTCGACTCCCAAATAGCCCGCCCACAATGGCTGCTCCAGGAGAGGAACCTGGCTAGGGACACCTGGCAGGAGACTCGCCTCCCCTGCTTTACCTCTGGGGGTCTCCGCCATGTGCATCCCTGTCCTGTGTGTCCTTCCCGCACTTCTGTGATGAGATCCAGCACCTACTATCAGGAGGAAACACAGCTGGGGCAAGACATACCGCTCTGCCTGCCGCTGAGAAGCGGGGAGGGCGAACTCACACACACACTGGAAGCAGTGTGAATGGCATCAGGCCAAGCCTCCCTTCAGTCACAGAGAACACAGAAGGCACAGACGTAAATGGCACCACGAAGAAGCAGGCAAACCCAGAACGTGGAATGCTCGCTGGGACGGTGGCCCAGACTCTTCATGAGGGAAGATAAAGTTAGAGTCAGCTGCACATCACAGACCTAAATGGGGGCTGGGGATACAGCACAGTTGGTAGAGTGCACCGCGATTCAGCCTGTGCTTGGAGGGGGTCCTGGTACGCCACGTGGCGAGCCGTGACATCATGATGAGTGAAAGTAAGCAGCCATGAAGACAAATGCTGAGTGACCAGCAAAGGAGCCCTAACCAGGGAAGTGGGAAGAGGGTGGCTGCCAGGGACGGTAGCATGGGGGAGCGGGGAGCTGTCCAGCGGAGCAGGGTTCTGGTCTTGCAAGATGGAAATGCCCTGGAGAGCTGCTGCACGTCTGGGCGGCACACCTGGGCGGCACACCTGGCAGGCCCGAGCTGTACAGGGATTACCATGGTCAGTTTTATGTTCTCGGTTAAAACCAACTTTCCTTAAATGACTAAAATGATTCAATGTCCAAATGCAACTCATGAACCTTGACTGGATCCTGACTTTACACGAGAAGAAAGTTATAAAACACAACTTGGGGACCAATGGAGAGATTGGTAACACGAAGAGACGGCTGCTGACCTTGTAGGTGTCTGGATTACGTAGCAAAGCATCCTTGTTTTTCATCGTTGCATGTGGAACAGAGGCATCCTGCTGTCTGCAATGTATGTTCTGATACTTTTGTGTGTGTGTGGTGCTGGGAATTGAACCCAGGGCCTATGTTTGCGAGGCAAGCACTCTACCAACTGCGCTGTGTCCCCAGCCCTCACAGTGAGCACGCACACAGGCACGGGCACACTGAGAATGCGGTCACCCAGAGGATGACTCCTGGCCTAAGGGTTATGTGGAACTGCTGAGAACCAGCAGACACAAGAAAAGCTGGTCTGTCTGTTCCTGCCGGTCTGCACAGTGCACACAGGGATGCGCCCGCCCGTCTGTTCCCGCCGGTCTGTGCAGTCCATGCGGGGACAGGCCTGGCTTGTTCCTGCCGGTCTGCACCGTGCACAGGTCGGGCCTGTCTGTTCCTGCTGGTCTGTCTGGCCAGTGTCACTTTCAGGCTGCAGCCAGAGGACCTCCGATGGGTTGGAGGTGAGGACGCATGTCTTCCCCACATAGCAAACCAGTAACTGCAGCATGGGTGGTGGCCTCTGCATGTCGCCTTCAACTCTCTCTCCTGTGAGTTTGAAACTTTGATAAAACTGAAAACTTAAAATTTGAGAAGCGTGCATCAATGCTCTTTCGAGGAGCTATCCCTGTCAGCTCACTCAGATTTGATGGGAGGAGCGTGCAGTGGTTGGGTATTTAGGTGACGATTTTCTGATTACTATCTTTATCAATTTATTTCACAATTAAAACTAAATTTAACTTTAAAGACAGGCCCAATGACAGGGGTAGCAATCAAACCGTCTGCACTTGCTGCCACCACACACTGACAGTCCCTGGGTCATCACCACCACAGTGTTTCCAGGTTGGTCAGGGAGACAGCCAGCCCTGGGCCTCCTGAAGGCCAGCACACACCAGACGTACCAGCGGGAGGTCCAAGCCCACACTAGCAGGAGGAGGCTGGCCAGGGACATGGACTCTAGCAAATACAATCCAAGAGCTAAAACTTAAGAAAAAAAGTGGGAGAAGGAGGTGCTGTTCTGGGAACACCGAGGAGGAAGGCAAAGGCTGACCCAGAGGCAGAGCGGGAGCAGGGCGTGCAGAGGCCACGAGGAGGGTGGCTACTGGGGCTTTGAGACCAGGAAGAGCACGGTGGCTGGGAGGAGGTGGCAGCGGCAGACAAGGACCCCAAATCCAATGGTTCTCATACTTTCGGGGCAGCATGCTGAAGCTGCCGGCCCCTCAGGACACACAAGCACAGTACCTTAATAGTGATGTAGTTTTTCAATGATTTGGACATTTTTTCTTCTTTGCCTTTTATGTGCAAATGCCCTGAAACAAAAACAGAAGCATTCCCTCTGAGCTGGGTGAGGAGACCCTTCACCCAGCTGTTGCCACTGCTGCCCTGAGTCTCAGGTGGGGAGGGTTGGGGAGGCTGGGCCAGGCTGTGCTCCCTGGAGAAGCGGAAGAAGCCAGCCCTGCACCATAACGGCTCGTTCCACGTAGGTGCCGGCGTGAGGCCTCCAGTCCTCACTCCCCCAAGGACGTGTCACACCTATGCTCACTCTGCGGCTCCAGGGACATCCTTGACACCCTGGGGGATGACCACATGGTACCCAGGACAACGGCCAAGCATGATGGATGGCACCTTTTGTACTCCCGTCCTGTGACCCAGAAACACTGCCATGTCCCATCCAACACAGAAGACATGAGCCCTCTCCCAACAGCGAGGCAGTGGGAAAGCCCGCTGGGCTGCTCAGGGGACGGGCCTGTGGCTCCAGGTGGGACTGCTATCTTACAGGGACAACCTCCCAGACTTCTCTGCACTGCAGTATGGTTTCACCCTGTGTGCATGAAGGACAGGAGGAAAGCCAGACCCACTTAAGGAACTTTTAAATCTGAACCGAGAATTCTTCCTGACAATTTTATGGTTTATCGCCAAGGGAGGGCCCCACTGTACCTAACAGAAGCTTCTTCCTCTTTTTTAACACAACTTCAAATAATAAGGGTGTTCCAAGTTTGTGTTTCTGAAAACTGGTAAGATATGACTTCCAAAAAGATACGTAACCTTGAGCAGGTGGCTCTAAACAACATGTCCCACACAAAAGCATAATTAAAATTTTAAATGTTGACAGCATCTGGAAAATCAGACATGTCTGCTGAGGTCTGAATGTTTATGTCCTCGCCAACTCATGTGGAACCTAGCCCCGAGGATGTGTAGGAGGTGGAGCCTGGGAAGTGAGGTCATGAAGTAAGGCCTCTAAAAGTGGTATTAGTGTATTAAGCTGTTTTCTGTTACTATAATGAAATACCTGAGGCTAACTACTATATAAAGAAAAGATGTTTATTTAGCACACAGTTCCAGAGGTTCAAGGCCATGGGGCTGGCATCAGCTTGGCTTTAGTGAGGTAGATGGCATCATAATGGTGGCATGAGAGGGAGCAATCATACTGACAGGAAGCCAGAGACTGGAAAGGGTCAGGCTCCCTCCTCTAATGATCCCCATGCAGAAGCAACCTGGGTCCTATGAGCTGCTTCTGACGCGGTGTCCCCAGTGACCAGTCACCTCCACCAGGACTCACGGCTTAAAGGCCCCGCCACCTCAACACCACCACACTGAGGACCAAGCTTCCCACATATGGACCCTTGAGGGCACATCAAACCATACCTGAAGCCTAGCGATGCCCTGTAAAAGGAACCCCAGAAAGATCCTCAGCCCTTCTGCCACGTGGGACACAGAAAAGAGAGCTGCCTGTGGACCAGGGAGCAGCCCACTGGGCTCTGGGTCTGCCAGGGCTCAGATGTGGTGAGCAGCACGTTCCTGCGGCTACACGCTCCCAGCCCATGGCTCGTGGAGAGCAGCCCCACTGATGAAGTCACCCTTGACTCCATAGCTCTGTCCCCTCTCCGCGGAGGAGAAACCCTAGGGACGTGGGGGACTCAGGGACACCGCTGGTTTTCTAGTGTGGAGTCACATTGGTGAGGTGATTCCAACTGAGCCAGTAGGTGCCAAGAGCCCTCTCCCAGCCACACTCAGAGGTGGCCTGGCCTGCTACCTTCTGGGCACCCAGTTCATGGGGACCCGACAGAAGCCGACAATGTCTGAGCATGGGCTTCAAGGTCACCCGCACCCCACCCCACCCACCCAAGGGACAGCAGAGTGTCCGCAGAGGGATCTCCATTGTCTCAGATAGTCCACGCGGCGAGCTGTCCCAAACCTGCCATGGGGGGTGCAGTGACACCAATTTCCAGGACACTGAGATGTGGCGTGGGGACCTCTCAGTAGGCCCTGTGCACATCTGCTCTCTGAGGACACAACTTGCAAGTCCTCACGCTCAGGCGGAGACACTTGTTTGCACATGATCTAATATGGAGAACAGTCACCTGCCTGGCGACAAATTTCAGGTGCCCCGAAGAGTGGGGTTTTAAATGTCCTATCCCCAGGCAGTGGGCACCTCTCTCCTGCGTGAGCACCACCTGAAATGGATGGCCATTCTGTTTAAGGCATCCGTGGAGCAGGCCCCATCACTGGCATTCAGGAGCTGCTGAATTCAGGGAAGGGGTCGATAGTCGGCAGCTGTGAAGTCTGCGAATGACAGTCCAGGCCCAAGGCTCTGCACTAATGAACCAGCCCTTCCAGAGAAGCCGTCCAAAGAGGTGGATGCAGCAGTGTGGGTCCTTGCCTCCCCCAGGGAGTGGGGTAAAGGACCACGGTAGGAGTACACTTCAGGGCAAGCGGCCTCCCATGCTCCTTCCCACCAGAATCCCACCTGACACCTACTCAGACAACGGCACTATAATGTCCCCATGCTCCGTCTCCTAACGGGGACAACCTGACTTCCTAATCCAAGCAGGGACTCACAGCTGGCATTTACTAGATGTTGGTGTGTGCACCCCCAGCCCTGCCCCACCGCACACTCGCCTTCTTTGTCTAATAGCTCAGCTGTCCTTCCCAAAGGGCGGAAAACCTAGTAATTCTGGCCTCATGGCCTTTATCAAAACTTGAACATATGAATCTTCTTATGCATCAAGGTGAGTTCCAAAATTGCCATGCTCATGGGAGGGCTGACTCCACGGTGCCGCTCTGCTCCGAGACAGAGGCCGTGAACAGCGGAGCAGATGCCAGTGTCCTGAGGAGGACAGGTGCACTGGCAACCATGCTGCAGCGCAAGAGGCAGGTGCCCTGAAGAGTGGGGTTTTAAATGTCCTATCCCCAGGCAAGCTTCTGAAGGTCTATCTAATGGTTTACTTGAAAGACACTCACACAGAACAGTGCTGTAAAACACTTTCCACATCCTAGTCAGTTCCAAACAGGTATATCCGTTACTCCAGTCCAAGGAAGTTTGTGACTGAATGGCTAAAATCCAAAGGTGATTTCTGACAAGTCCATCTCCTATTAGCTGACCTATGTATTTCCAAATGTGGCTGCTTCCACAATACGGACAGGATTGACAGAACATAAAGAGAACAAAGTAGTTTCAAGTCATTACTTACCGGAATGTAGAAAATAATTTCCCCACTGCTCACACTGATGGAAGACCTCACACTGTGCAATCTCGTTCTCGTGATGGGGAAACGCTAAGTCCACCCCACCTGAGTGGATATCCAGCTGACCTCCAAACACCATGCTGCAAGATGGAGCGGAGCAGGGAGTGAGTTCACATAACGTGTCCTCCGAACCACTTCTCACCCCAAGTCCCTCCAGCCTCTCTATGCCACCGAACCCACTCATGTCAACACAAACCAACTGGCATGATGAGGTATGTGAAGGCAGCAGGGAAAACTGAAATTTTGCCACAAGTCCCCAGTTCACAGCTTTTCATCCTGGTGCAGAGACTGAATTCTCTTTGCTCCAGGTTCAGCATACAGTTAAAAAAACTTACAAAATTACCTTCTCTTACTGTCGATAGGGAGATTTAGTGGGTTTCCAACTTCACCAAGAGCTAGAACTATAAAATCAGGAGAATTTTCCATTCAGTTTTGAAACTGTAACTAATGGCCACAGATGAAAAAGTCCATCAGCCTCCCCAGCTCTGTGGCTCCGCTGGGCTCCGCTGGGCTCCGCTCACCGGGTGCCTCTGTCCTGCACACCTGCACAGTGAGCTACCAGGGCTGGCGGGGAGGGAGGCTGGGTGTGCCTACGCTCACGGGAGGGCTGACTCCCGGTGCTGCCTCTGCCCTGAGACGGAGGCCGGGAACAGCAGAGCAGGTGGCAGTGGCACTCGGGGGCCTCAATGGCACTGCTCAGGTTGAGGGACGCGGGCACCGCAGACAGCAGGAGCCCAGAGTAGGTGTTCCTAAAATGCTTATGGACATTTCCAAAGGTGCCACGGGCTGGCTGAGGGCCTCCTGCCCCAGGGGTCTGGCTCCACACACTGGGGCACCCCATGCTTGGGCCACCTGAAAAAGGTAACCTGGGGTGAGTGAAGGAAACCCAGAAGACACTGGAAGGCAGCCTCTCCTGGAGGACCGGCTGTGTGGAAGGCCTGCCACGCCCTGGCTTTGGTTCCCCTCCTCCCTTGCCCACCCAGGCTGTGCTGGCTCACTCTCCCATCCGCGTCCTCGGCCAGGCGCAGCCCCGGGAGCCTTACCTGGCCATGGCGGAGCATTCGATGTGCCAGCCGGGCCTGCCGTTCCCCCAGGGCGAGGCCCAGAACACCTCCTGGGGCTTAGCTGCCTTCCACAGGGCAAAGTCACTGGCGTGCCGCTTGTCCGAGTCCCCTGCCAATGTCAAACGGTTAATCAGCAGGGCCCATGTGAACCACCAAAGCCACCTTAGTGAGATGGCGCGTGCACATCCCAAAGACCCCGTTCCTGCTAACACCTCAGTTTCCCACTGTACACCTGGCTCTTTCCCCTTGAGGGACAGAGGACTAGCGACTCTTCCACCAGGAGACGGGGCGGCAGAGCCAGCCAGGCAGGGCGTCCTCAAGCAAGGCCGACCAGGGCGTGCAAGCTGAGGCGTGGGTCCCTCCTTCTCCTTGAGGAAGCCTATCTGTCAGAGACTGAGTGTCAGAATAATTTTTCCAAAAATGTCGACGATCACAGCATGCAAAGGAAATCGCCCAGGGCCAACCGCACGGTAAGGAAGGGAAGTCCGGCCGAGGACTGATGTTGTGTCCAAAGTCATGCCGGAGTCCCCGTGGCACGTGCCTCGTGTCTCAGACTGGAGAACATCCCTGACTCGTGGGGTGCCCCCTACACGGGATGCTTCCCATAGGACGCCCACCCGCTTCAGCGACTCCGACAGACTCTGCACTTGACTGAGTGCTGAGGTCCGCTCCAGGTCAGTGCCTCGTGGCTGTCACTGCCTCAGCCGCCTCCACTTACAAACGTCACACAGCCACAGCAGAGCAGTGCCGCTGGTGGCTCGCAGGCTGGAGAGCAGGACCAGCAGCAAGGAAGGGCGGGGGCCACCCTGCAGGAGGTCGAAGTGAAGACAGAGCCACAGACAGAAATCCAGAGACTAGTGGAGAAGAGGGTGGCCAGGCACTCGGGTAAGGGGAGCAGCTGGCCAGAGGCCACGACAGGCCTCTTGGTGCAGAAAGCAATGCCTGCAACGTGAAGGTGGCTCAGATGAAACTGCACTTCCTGCAACGCAACTCTCTGTCCGAGTGGGGCCCAGAACCTCTGTCTAGGCTGCTTAGCCATGGAGGAGCGGGCCAGCGGCGGCCACTCTGAGGGAGGCCTGTGACAGCTCACTCGCCCCTTGGTTGCTTAAAGTGCTCCTGGTGCTCCCATATGGATGCTCTGACGAGTCCCCTGAAGAGGAAGGGCCACCTTTTATCCAGGTCACAGGGTGTGTTGTCACATCAGGTGACACAGCAGGTGCCCAAGCAGTGACATTCTGTGTAAGACTGCCCACTCTGGGCCAGGTCACCTGTGTCCCCCCAGCGCTACCTCACTGTTGACCTCAAGGGGGCTCCACTGGTGCAGCACCCCGTGACTCCCCCTCTGCCTGTGAGTGCTGAGGCAGGTGTGATGTTGAGCCCCGTGAAAGCCCCCCAGGAGGGCGGGCTTCCTCAGAGCAAACACCAGACCCTTTTCAGGGTCAGTGGGGACTCTGGAACATGCCAACTGTTCCTGACGAGACTTCAAAGACAAAGGAAAGTCCTCTGGGAACCAAGCAGGTAGAATGGTTCATGCACGGGGCCCAGGAAATGGAGCTGTTGCCCTAATGTCAGCATGCTATGCTGGAGAACACGGGTCACAGGTGGAGGTGTGAGGGGACACCTTGGCCATGGGTTTTACCTCCAGCCAGGCTAACGTGGAGGGGAACAGCCACCTGCCAACAGGCACAGGCTCAGAAAACTGCTCCCAGAGGGGCTCTTCCTACAGAAGTTCCTGGGAGGTGAGCCAGACACACGGCCAGGGCGAGGGTGACGTGGGACGATGGGCAAATGGAGCTGGACAGCACCAGACAGCCAATGCTGAGTGCAGACGTGGGGCACCCGCACTGAGTGGCACAGAGGAAGGAGGCCTGGGCAGAGCACTGAAATGCAGCACTACACCTAAGACCGAGCATTCCCAGAACTCAGACACAGCCAGCCCTCACAGGTCACCTTCCAAGGACAACACTGAGACCAGCTCCACTGTGAAGACTGTGCATGGAGTCACCAGGCAGCAACCTGTCCACACAGAGCATTCCACAGATGAACGAGGACAAGCTGTGTGGCAGCACATGGAACCCCCCTGTGACAAGCACCTGTGCCCTAGCACAGCAGAGGGGACCCAACCAGAGGCAGAGACCCTTGGTGCCCTGTGGGGAATAAGGACCATCTACAAATCTCCACCTGCAAACTGATAACCAGAGTAGGCTCCTGGATCCCACTGCCCATTACAAAGTCCCCACTGAGGAAAGGGGCCACAGGACACTCCTCTTGTGAACTGTGTGGGGCAAGTGAGGGAGGGACACAGAGGCCAGAAACACCCTAGAGGATGTGAATATGGAGCACAGCTCAGCTTCACCAGAGTGCGGGGACCCTGCTCAGAAAGGTGAGGAGGTGACACTTCCATAGACCAGTGGTTGCTCCTAAGGGCAGGAGGGGCTGGGATGGGGTGCGATACACAGGCCCTGGGGTCTCTAGATTGGTGCCACTGCTGTATCCCTTCACCAGAGATGACCAAGGAGCCTCCACCCAACACGTCACTAAGCTGGGCATAAGTCTATGTTACTTTTCATTGGGTTATTACAACAATTGAGAAGTTAACTGAAATGACATATACTGAAACATTAGAATTTTTTTCATCCTAGGCACAGTAGCACACCTGTAATACCAGTGACTTAGGAGGCTGAGACAGGAGGATTACTGTTTGAGGCCAGTCTCAGCAACTTAGTGAGGCCCTGTGCTACTGTCTCAAAATAAAAAATAAAAAGGGTTGGGGTGTAGCTCAGTGGTAGAGTGTCCCTAGATTTAATCTCCAGTACAAAAAACAAGAACACAGTTTTCATTGTGTACAAAGATGAGTACATATATTATCTTCGTTTTGTATAAACTTATGCTCTAATTTTGTATTTTCATACTTGCTTTTGTATTAGAAAACAATTTTAATTTTAAAAAGTGTTGCAACAAGAATGTGAAGCAACAGGAACTCTTGTATTCTTTTTTTGGGGGGCGGGGCAAGACTGGGGATTGAACCCAGAGTCTTATGCACACTAGGCAAGCGCTCTACCACTGAGCTACATCCCCAGCTTGTTTTCACTAAGTTGCTGAGGCTGGCCTTGAACTTGTGATCCGCCTGCCTCAGCTCTGAGTTGTTGAGATTATAGGCATGCGCCACTGCACCTGGCTCAGGAACTCCCTTTCATTGCTCGTGGGAGCACACCTGGCTCGCCATTTTGGAAGACAATCTGGCAGTTTCTTACAAACCAAATGTAGTCTTACCATATGATCCAGCAACCACACTACTTGGAATTAACCTGAAGCTAAAAACTTACATACAAACAAAAACCTGTGCACAGGTGTTCACTGCACCTTTAATTACAGCTGCCAAAACCTGGAAGCAACCAAGATGTCCTTTAGGGAATGAATGGATTAAAAAATCTCAGTGTACCTGGACAATGGAAGATTATTCAGTATCAAAGAAAAATGAACTCTCAAGCCCTGGTAATGCAGAGGGAACCAGAATGCATATGACTAAGAGGAAGAAGTCAATCTGAAAAGCTTGGACCACAAGATTTCAACTCCGGGACACTGGAAAAGCAATGGAGGGAGTGACAGACCAGCAGTCACCAGGGAGGGTGCACAGGGCAGTGGTGTGCAGGCAGTAACTGCTGGGCCATGCCATCTCTGCATCTGTCCAATCCACAGAACCCATGGCACTAGGAGGATTCTAAGCTATGCCCTTGGGTGACGCAGACAGTCCATGTTGCTCATCCACTGTGACAAATGGACACTCTGGTGGTGATGCTGGCAATGGGCAAGGGCCAGCCGCTGCAGGGGAAGAGGTCACAGCAACTCTTGAAGCCTACACTTAATCCTGCTATGCACCCAAAGCAGCTCAAATAAAAAATAAAGTCCATCAAAATAAAATAAAAGACTGCAGCTGATACTAGAACGCATAATTCTCACAAATCCCTGTACCCGGAAGGCACCCTAACACCTGCTCGTAGCCACAGCTCACGTGAGGATAGCCCCCCCTATGGAGGGAGCAGGGTAAAGGTAACAAATACAATTTCTGAGAAGTCACATAAATAATGCTACAATAATTAGGTGTAAATGGCAGTCTTCAGGACAGGAAGATAGTACACCTGGCTCTCTTGGACAACTTATCTTTTGGGTTTCTGCTTGTTAGTCTGGAGTGGAGACAGCACATAACAGATCCCAGGGTGCTGGTGGGGACTCAGTACATGACGGGAGCAAGCCACAGGAGTGTCGAAATGTACCTATCACGCCACAAACACCAAGGGGAACAGGAGAGTAGGTGAGCAGCCCGGCTCTCAGAGCAGGGCCGGGTGGAGCCGCTGCACCTGCTGCTGACGCCACACTCCATAAGCTTCATCCATCCATAGAAGTGAGTTCAATGTGCAATGTGACCATGATCAGGGCAGGGCCAATGTCACCATTTCTGAGCAAGTCAAGGCCCAGCTCAGACCTTGCTCTCTGGAACCCACGTGAGGCTGAGGCTTGGGGCCCAGAGGGAAGCTCGGCACCCACCTGGCTCTCCAGCAGGCCCAGGTGCCACGCCGACCAGTCTGCCATACTTGTCTCCTCTTGACTGCAGATCAAAGTAGACGTTGCCTGTTTCACGAGATAGTTAGGCATTCATCACTTCTTGTCTGAAATATCAGCATCTCTCAAGGTTGATATCTAACGAGTTATTAGAATTTAAATACAGAAGATGGCATCCTTCACTTGACCCCTTTTGCTATATTTTAAAGCCAGAATTAACAGGGACTTAGAATCTCGGTCTGACCACACCCTGGGCACCTTTCATTCAGAGATTCTGCTTGCTGAGGTGTCACGGGCAACTAACTTTTGAGGCCCACTGACAAACGATGTACCTATGGAGAGAGTGGCCCAGGGATAAACCCTAACATGAAGGACATGTCTCAGAGGTCTTGATCTTGTCCCCAAGCTTTGTTAATACAAATTCCTAAGCTAAGCTGAAAGAAGACCACAATGAACGCCTGTATACCTCCCATAGATTCCAAACTGGTACAAGACCAGCTCTCCAGGCCCATCTTCTCCTGGGATAGGGAAACGCAAGAGTTTTGTGGGGAGACGCACACAGTGGGAAATCCCAGAACTTTTTTTTTGCAATGTGGGGGATTGATAGGCACGTGCTCTACTGAAGAGTTACAACCCAGACCAACCCCAGCACAGTTTTGCTGCAAGAACCAAATTCAGACAGACAATATAGCACTCAGCCTATTCCACAACTTGGATGTGTCCAGCTTCTTGAAACCCCAACAGCATTACTCAATGACCAGTTCTGATAACATAAAGCCTACCTTTTACTGTTGGATAGGCATACCCACGAGCAATTATTCCTTCAATGAACGAGATTATCTGAGGAATGTTTTCAGTTACTCTCAAGTACACTGTTGGAGGGAGAACCTGGAAGAAAGCAGAGACACAACCATGTTTCCCTCGTTCTAAATCACAGCACAGGATTCAGCTCGACCTAACTGCAGCCATGCTTGAGTCATAACTCCATGACTGCCTCAGAGCAGCCCCAGTCGGTTTTGCCCGAAGTTTCCCAGCAGAGTATAGACCGACAAAGCCATAAGTGGTTGCAACTGAACCCTGGCACCAGGAACTCTTATTAGTTTATGATCATCCAGGTCCACTCTAACCAGGATGAAGTCACTTTTGTCCTAATCCATAAATATGCCCCTTTCTGACCCAAATTGCACGAATCCAACTCATCTGCTGCTGCACAGGATCATGCTGCTGCCTGTAAGCCCAACGAACTGCACCCTGTGCGGTCCTGGGTCTGTCGGCCTCCTTCGGTCTCACAGTGGCACACTGGGACCAGTCCTCATACACTCAGACTGGACTGCTCTGGAACACCTAGGTCAGCTACTGCTGCCCTTCACAGTCCCAGCACACTTTCCTCATGGAAAGAAAAGCCAACCACACACTTTACCTTCAGGGCTGCCATGTCCTGCTTAAAATCTTCTTCATACAGACTGGCCAGTGAAGCAGGTGACACCCTCATCTGCAGAAGGACCGGATGAGCATGTTAGAGCCCAAGACCCCACTGGAACCACAGAGGCAGGCGCCCCACAAATGCACTGCTCCACACCAAAGGCCTCCTGGGGATGGAATCAGGCCACCAAAGCCCACCAGGAGGGAGGGACTGCGTGAGCACGGCTGGGTCCAGAGGGGCATTAATTCCAGGTCCTACACTTGCACCAGGAGCTTAGCTAGTTGAAGGCTTACTGACCTTGTTCTGTGGTTAGAGAAAAGAAGAAATGAACAGTGTCACAATTTCCATTATATAAGGAACAAACAAACTCCACTTCTCCAAAACAGGGCAGAGCCAGATCTAGTCTTGTGCACGTGCTGCTGGGCTGAGGCCCAGCCGCACCATGTGGGCAGGCGCTCTGCCATCGAGAGGCAAAGCCCCTCTCTCTGCCTTCAGGAGGAAAGAAGTGGTCAGAAACACATTTGAGAGGAGATCCCTACAGAAACATTTTGAAAGTGATTCAACATACTAATCAGGGGTACCGAAGCCCTGAGGTCATGTGGCTGGGCTCCTGGGAATGGATGAGGCCACCAAAGGCCACCAAAGCAGCATGTTGCACCTTGAATGTTGGGTGCATTTGGGGCACAGGCCTGTAGCTCCTGCCAGATTTTCACAGAAGGCTGGACCTGGACTCATCTAGGTGTGTCACTGTCCAACAGGGACACGCCATGAACAGAGGCTCCGAGGCTGCCGGCCTCACATTTGCAGCCACAACATGCCACCTCTATCACATGCTAGACTTGCCTCTGACCTGCTCTGTGAAATAGGTCTCCTCTCCTTATGGCTGAAGATATTTCTGCTCCAGAGCATTAAGAATCATCCTTCTCAAGCTTCTCAATGCCACACCTGAGGCTGGGCAGCCACATCACCTGAGGCCTGTGTTCCTCCTGCCCAGGGCTCTGAAAGGGTACCATCATCCCAGAAACCAGGCCAGTGAGTACTCACTGAAGCTGCTCACCCAGCTGTCCTCTCAGCCCCGTGTGCTTGGCAAATCAACGAGCTAAACCTCGCAGCCTTTGCTTTCTCTGAAACGTGGAAATACCCCCACCCAGTCATCCCCCAGACCACTGTGAAGCCTCGCTGTGTACATGCTTAGGACGGCCCTGTGAGGAGAGAACACAGGGGCTGGGGTGTAGCTCAGGGCTGTAGCACTGGCCCAACACGGTGAGGCTCTGCGCTCATCCCCAGCCCTGCAGACAACCAGACAGAAAACAGCAGCACCACCATTAAAGACAGCAAGAACTCAGCACCTCGCACCAGGCATAGTCCCGCTCCTGGGGCACAGTTCTGTGGTGAACACAAACCATTTAGTCAAGAACTAGGTTAACATACTCATTCAGAGGATGAGACCAAACAAAAATATGTTTTCTTGCCACATCGGAAGTTTCAAGTACTATGTGATTTTGGACCTAAAGATCTACAGGTTGCTCTTCTTTACCTATTTCTAATGTCTTCTTCTGCATAGATAATTCACCTCCAGATTTCAAATGACTTAAAGGGTACACACCGGCTTCCCTCCCAGGAAACACCTTGGCCGGTTCTCACTACCATGAATGTGGCTAATTCGTGTGTCAGATGTGGCCCACCCCGCTCAAACTCCTGGCTTCTCCTAGCAGCACACGGCATCCCACATCTCTGCACTGCAGACAGAGCTACACTGTTCTTTGCGAAGGCTGCCTGTACCCCATCTCCCAGGTGTGTGGTAGCTACTTAACCCATCCCTGCAGAAGGGCAGTCTCAACTTTGCTGTTACAAACGCAGCCACACACATCTCACAACACCTGCCCCCAACCGTCTCTGAGCTGTACACCTGGATGGGAAATGCTGGTCAGAGGGAGCATGCACACATACTTGACTGGCCATTGCCAAACTGCCCTCTGTGGGAATTACTACTGACACCTGACCAGCCACACCAAGGTCATCTCCTTCCCGCACCCTCACCAGCACAGTGTTGGCAAACTTCTAGACTCTGTCTCTGTAACACCCAAAGGCTTTTCTGTTATAACTGTAATTTAAACTAATTTTATTTAGAGTGAGTTAGAATATCTCACATGTTTAGGAACCATTCTTATTTAATGACTTCTAACTCCCCTGTTCATTTTTCTATTGAGTTGTGGTCTTTTTCTTATTGATTTGTAGAAAGTAATTTTATATAAAAGAAGTTAACTTTTTATCTGTGATGTAAGTTTCAACTTTTTTCAACGTTAAGGTTATGGAATGTAGAAGCTTTTATTTTTACATTTTGTAATTTTTTATATTTCTGAATCTTTTCTCAGAAGTGGCTTCTGGGTTTGGAAAAACTGGGAAAAGCCTTCCCCTACTTGAGGCTCTAGGAGTGTCCTGGGGTTTCTTACAGTAATCTGTGGATCTATTCTTTTAGATTTAAATGTTTGATCTGCCTCAAATTTGGCTTATTTGGTATATTTTGTTCTCCAGATGGCTAACCAACTGTCCACACTTTTTAATGAATAGTCTACCTTTTCCCCTATGGATCTGAAATGCCATCTTTTATCATACAACAGATCCCCCTTAATTACTGGGCCTATGTGTGGACTGTCTCGTGGGGTCCACTGCTTGTTTTCTCAGGTTTTGTACAATCTGACTTTCAGAGCCTTGACAGGGACAGAAGGCAGGTCAGGGGCTGCTGGGGCAGTGGGCGGGAGGCAGACGGAATCCGGGTCACTTGGGGTTAAAGGGCCATGTGTCCACAGAGCACACCATCTCCACATCCATCCCAAATGCCTATGAATGAATGACACACACAGCTCACTACAGGCCAGTCATGCAAATAAATAAATAATAAATATAATAATAATAATAATAAATGAAAACAGAACATTCTCCTCGGCATTTAACTGTGTTTTCATGTGGTGGGACCACTCCTCAACATTCTTCTTTGAGTCTTTGTACTCCTGCTGTTTTTGCTGCTCCACATGAACTGAGTGTCCACTCACCTAGTCTGACGGGACCACTGTGCACACAGACACCAGGGACACCTGCACTGAGAGGCTCACCAACTACTGTCCACACCAGCAGCTCGCCCTGTCCACACAGGGGCACGCCGGCTCAGGAGCCCAGCCCCAGGAACCTGTCCACAGAGAACGTCCACACAAATGCCAGTCGACTGCTGTGAGGTCAAGGAGGGGAATCACACTCTAAAAGTCGAACCACTGAATTTAATTTTCTTTGTGTGTCCCAAAGCACTCTACCACTGAGCCACTCCACCACAAAGTTCAACTTCTGAGCAGCTAGTCACGCCACATGTCGGCACAGAACTGCTCTCTCACTGTGACAGGATCCCAGACAATGCTGACATGGGGACATGTCCTTGTTACGTTGCGTTATTTCCTAGCTGTCCCTCATCACCCTGGGGTACTTCAAGCTAGAGATCTCCCCCACAGGGAACTCTGTTATGCTGGGCCCTCTGCACTCAGACTGAGCCTCAAGATGTTCTAGAACATTCCACCTTCTTTCCAGGAAGCATGGGGCGCTATTTCTAGGCAAGAACTACAATAGACTCCCCTTATCCTGAAGCAAAGAGAGCGAGGGCTTGAACCATGGAGACAGCTGGAGACAGCCGAATGACTCTCTCAGCCTGAATGCTGCCATGCAGATGTGCCAGGCCTCTTGACTCCTACTGCAGACCTATTTGAAATCTGTGGGCTTAGCCCTGACAAACTGAAAACACACGCCAGGAATTAAAGTCAAGGGAACAACTCAGAAAAGTGTGATGTTGCAGCTGGGCATGGTAGCAAGTGCCTGTGATCCCAGATACTCAGGAGGCTGAGGCAGGAAGATATCAAGTTTGAGGCTAGCCTGGGCAACTCAGGAGACCCTGTCTCACTTTTTTTTTTAAATGAAATCTTTTTTTTTAACAGCATGTAGTTCGATGGTAAAGCACTTGCCTAACATGTGTGAGACCCTGGTTCAGTCCCTACTACCTCCCCACCCCAAAACATGTAATGTTGTAATTTAAAATACTTTTAAAACAAGTCTTGGCGCAGAGGGCATGAAGACATCAACCATCATGACACACCTGCACTAGAAGCAGCCCACGGAGAGGGATGAAACCAGTGTGGTGACCCTCACAGCCACACTGCTCTGCCTCAGAAAGGAGGAGCACTGACCCAGGTGAGGACACGGATGAGCGTGAGGCCGTGATGCTCTGCAAAGTGAGCCACTGCCAAGGAACAGATACTGCCAGTGTCACGCATGGGGAGTCCATAGAGACAGGGTGGGGGCTCCAGGGGCTGGGGAGAGGCCAGGGAGTCGTCGGGGGAACAGAGTTTCAGGTGTGAAAGACGAGTGCGCTCTGGACAGGATGGCAGGACAGTGCTCACAGGGTAAAGGTGCTGCTGCCGGTGACCCCACACCCAGCTAAAGGTCGTGTTACGTTACTAAAAATAGGAAGAAAACAAAAAAGTCATTTTGCCTTCAAAAAATCTGCATTAGGGCTGGGGTTGTTGGCACGAATGAGCCAGGGGGTTTAATCCTCAGCACCACATAAAATAGAGGTACTGTGTCCATCTACAACTAAAAAACACATAAAAACAGTCTGCTTCAGATTTTCTCAAAAAGCCTTTTTGCTGAACACTGAAAAACATGTCCCCCTAAGCATGGTTTCAGATGTGATTACTATATAGAAGTGGGGCGCTATTTCTAGGCGAGAACTACAACAGACTCCCCTTATCTATGCGGACATGTTCTAAGACCCCCCAGTGGATGTCTGGAATCACAGTATACTGAGCCCTGTGCATACTGTGGCTTTCCCTACATGTACACACGTATGGCAAAGTTTAATTTGTGATTTCCCCTACATGTACATACATATATTAGAGTTTAATTTATATATTACACAAAGTAAAAGGTTTATAGCGACAAATGAGGATACAACAGTTCTCACAGCTTCTCTTTGACACACCCGAAGTGTTCTTGGCTTTGAGGCCATGGCTGAACACAAGTGGCAAGCCCCTGTCAGTCCATCTGATGGGCAGACGGCAGGTGAGCGCAGGTGGAGCGTGGGGGCGCTCCAGTCATGCTGCCCAGAATACCGCACAAGCTAAAACTGGTAAATCATTTCTTTCTGGAATTTTCATTTTAAGATCTTAGACCACAGCTGACTCTGGGTAACTGACACCTTGGAAAGAGAAACTGAGGACAGGGCGGAATACGGCAAACTGTTATAGCAGCACAGAATGGACCAAGACAGACAGCTTCCAATCAGCCAGACTTCAGGGAAGTCCCGCTCTGGAAGACTACTAGGAACATGTGCTCTATTAAACCCAGCCCAGCCCTACCCCCAGACCCAGCAGGCAGTCTGCAGAAGCACTGAAGACGAGGGCACTTTGCCTGTCCAGGGGGCTGGGCTAGGCGAGGGCTCCAGTGAGCCTCTCCACCTCACACGTCTTGGGAGTTCCCACTGTGACAAGTATTTGCACCAGCTCTGAAAGGCAAAGGTACTGAACAACTATCCTAAGATAACTGTTCACAAAAATATGAGGTCAGCTTCACTGATGTCTTCATCAGACTCAGGAGGGATGCGTGCTGTGCTGTGTGACGGCTCTATCAGCCACTCCACCATCATGCCAGTAGGCACAGTGTTCCGAGGAGGCGGAGGGAACACATTCCTGATTCCCAGCAGCAAGGAATTCAGAAAAGACAAAGTCAAGGGCCCACAAAGCCCTCTGGCAGAGGTGATATGCAGGACACAGCACCCCCAGCCACCCGGGAGAGCTCAGGGAGGTTCCCAACCTTCCACCTGTCTGACAAGGATATTCTCACCCACCAAGTCTTTTGAGGCTCTGACAGGTGTGGAACCAGACCTTGTTGGGGCCCTCAATTTGAGCAGGAAAGACATGCTTTCTGCCAATGCCTCAGTACCTGAGCCATTCACACCTGCAAGGCCCTGCTGGAAGGGCCTGCAGCCAGAAGCCCTGGGCCCGTGGCCCTGACCCAAAGTCTACACAAGCTGCAGACTCTCCCATACTCCCTACCCTTCCCTGTAAAATGTAGACATGTCCTTCAAAGTGAAAGTCCTATCATGTCTGAGACTGTCAAGGATGTAAGATAAAGAAGGGGTGAAGACCAAGGACCTTTACAGGCTGAGGGAAACTCGGACGCAGGAACTAAAGGGTAGAAGATTCCAGAAGAGTCCTAGACCAGAAGAGAAAGGAGGCACTGCAGGGATGGAGATGACCCTGGGATGGGCCTGTGGCGGGGACGGCTATGCCCCCGACATCAGCACACTGCATCATGCCCACTTCCTGGCTGGGAGGGACACAGGGTAGCAACGCAGGTCCTTATTCCTGGAAGAGTCACAATGTGTGTTCAGCAAAGAGGGGCACCAAGCTGGAGAGAGCTTACACAAAGAGAAGATGAACATGCACACAGCAGAGTCACGGCGAGAAATCCTGGGCAGGGTGTGGGCAGTCTTTGTACTGTTCCTGCAGTTACTCTGCAGATGACAGTCTTTCAAGAAAAAAAAAAATTTTTTTTGGTAAAATTACTTTATTTTCCTCTCGTATTTGCTTTATATCTTGCTTTAAAAAGTTATGAAGTTCACAACTTTATACCAAAACGTAAGAAGACTAGGCTATTTGCTTATAAATATTTTTCTTTCTTTTTTTTTTTTGTATGTGATGATATTAAGCTGGTATCAATTTATTTATTTATTTTTATAAACATTTTTCAAGAAAAATTTAAACCTTAAGTAAAATGTGTTAACAAAAGCACAAGCTCTGCCCCACCCAACCAGTGTGTGCAGAGACAGAGTGTTCCCAGGACAAAAGCCCCTTCTATCAAGAAACAGAAATGAAAGGCACCAGCAGCAGAAACACAGGACGCCCAAGGCCAAGAGCCAGCTGCCTGGGGGAGAGAGCATCGCCTCCCTGCAGGGTGAGGGCGCGTAGGGGTTAGACTCAAGCTGGGACACCCCTGTGGAGTGAGGCTTCGGGGCCACCATTCCACGGGCCTCACTGCCTTTCCTGGCCACTACAATATGGTCACATCTACTGGGCCACGTATGAATGATAAGGTGTGAGAACAACTTGTAAAATATGAAAAAAAGCAGCTTCCACCGATGGATCAAGTGTTGATGAACGGAAACCTTCTGTGCTTACCTCATGGGCTCTTTTGATGATTTTGTCATCCACGTCTGTAACACCCATCACCATGACTATGTTGCACCCAAAAACCTTGGTTAGGATCCTTCGAATTATATCAAATCTAACATATGAACTGAAAGAAAAAAATGTTGGGCTCTCTTTAGATTGCGCAAAACCATTATTATTATCCTTGAAAAAGTGCATTATAATTTAACATCCTGCTACCTAACTTGAACTGTGTAACATAAGCCATGACCAAATGGGGCTAGTACAAGGAACAGCCTTCTGACTGACGGGGTCCTCAGGAAAAGCTGACAATGGAATTGCATCAATTTCAGGACACAATGTTAGCATTTTTTAGTTTTAGAGCTGTTGAGTGAATTTACATCTATTTAAATGTACAAAAATTCACTCATAATACAATCTTATATGGTAGTTATAATACTGAGAGTTTTTGCTATTCTTGTTCATGTTCTAGAATAGTTCTAGTTTCTCACTAACATGAAATGCATAGAAGTAAATAATTATAAACAGGACAAGTGCGATCCTCTTAGGGGTGCATCAGGTTACTCCTAAGAATATGAACCATTCTAGAAATGCAAAAACAGCAGCTTGTTTATATGCCATGCTGAAGTGAGTCGGATTTTAAAACCAAAAGAGTTTAGAAGCATTTTAACAACTCAAGGCTTGTACTCTTTTCTGAACTGAATGGGCAAAAACATGTGAAAACCATGAGGATATTCTCCCATGAAAGCAACCTTGAAACTCCAGGTCAGCTAATCTCATGCTCATCTCTATCATCCATGCAGTCTCTCTAAATCTGAGTTCACAAAGTCATTTTCCTCCAGAAATAAAATCCTAGCACTTTAATGGTCTCCTCCTAAAACACACACAAACACAGTTTAGGCTAGAGCTTGACCATAATGATAAAACTACCTCCAAAAACTCCTTGCCAAGATATTTACCCTCTCAGAGGCTCAGTCTGATTATTTATAAACTGGGCAAAATTCCACTAACTCACAGGACTGTTATGCATGCAGGTGCTCGGGCAGCATGAACTCCAAAGAACACAAGCTATGGCTACCATCTTCATCTCCGTGGCCCTCTGGAGGTGGAAAAGACTCCACAGAATTGAAATTATTATTATTATTATTATTTTGGGGGGTATCAGGGATTGAACTCAGGAGCACTTGACTACTGAGCCACATCCCCAGCCCTATTTTGTATTTTATTTAGAGACGAGGTCTCAATAGGTTGCTTAGTGCCTCACTGTTGCTGAGGCTGGCTTTGAACTCGTGATCCTCCTGAGCCACTGGGATTACAGGCATGAGCCACTGTGTCTGGTCAGAATTGAGATTTAAAAGAAACAACTAACAGGGACCTAAAACAAATGGCAACAAGACTTGGGTGACATACTCCAGAACTCAGGCTGAGCCCCAGAAGTGCCCTCAGGAAAAGGCAGAACTGGCAGGGGCTGCAAGTGGATTGTATCCATGGTAGCTGCTCCTGTGCATGCACACTCTGCAGTGCCAGACAGCCAAAGTCAGATGCATGGGCATCAAGAGCTAGAAACTTACAAACAAACAGAACACAGCAAAAACAAACAAAAAGAGAACCAGAGGCCTCCACGGCCTCCTGTGACTCCCCTGACAACCACACCGTGTCAGCCAGGAGTGCCATGAGCCAAGAGTGCCACTCGCAGCCTGCTTCCCAAGCATTGAGTGATGACATCCCAAACCCACTGGATGACTGCTAAGGAAAACTCCCAGAGTTTTCACTAGAGACACTTCCTCTCCACTCCATCCCTACAAGACGGAATCTCAACTGCTGGGACCAGATAATGCAACACCCTCCCTGTCTGGCTCCAGCCGGCCCCTCCAATCCCCTAGATGAACCAAACTGGCTGACTTGTTTTCCCCAAGCAGGGCTGGCACGTCTCTGCCAACCTCTTCTGGATGCCTCTTTTGGTTGAGCTGAGCTCTGACCAGGCTCCAAGTGCCTTGTGAAGCAGGCACTCTCTGGTCCCCGCTCTGTTGGTGCTGAAATAATTATGTCATGCTAATGAAATTAAATGATTAAGCCCATAGCCACTGAAACAGTCACAGGCCTAAGATGTGGGAAGGAAAGTGAAGAGCCTGGAGTGGGCAAGAGGTGGGGACCTCCTGTCAGCCACATTCAGTTCAGTCCGCAGGGACAGCAGCCAGGCCAAGAGAATGTCAGTGGAGCAAATGGGCCTAGCTTTCCCCAGTCCCTCTGAAGGCACTAGGTGTGCAGAGCACATAACAGCCATGATGTCAAGAGGGAAAGTGCGTGGTGAGAGGCAGACCAAGCTACACCCCTGCTCCAATGTTCCGTAGTGTGTGACTCAGGAAGGCCACCATCCTCAATAATGGCTGGGCCCTTATAACACATCACACAGCAAGTGCAAGTTAAACAGGATTTTATGAGTATTCAGTCCTAAAATTGCTGTAAAGATTTTTAAAAGAATGGGATATTATCATCCCCATCTCAAAGATGATGAAACCAGGATTGAAGCCTGGCCCACCTGTAATCCTAGCAACTCAGGTGGCCAGTTGGAGGCCAGCCTCAGCAACTTAGCCAGACCCTGTCTCAAAATAGAAAAATAAAAAGAGGGCTAGGGATGTAGCTCAATAGTAGAGTGCCTCTGGGTTCAATCCCCTATACCACAAGAAAAATGAAAGAAACTAGGATTTGAGCAAGAAAGTGAGTTATCCAATGCCAGGAAGCTAATAAATGTCAGGAGCCAGAAATGACCACCCCCTCCCCCAGCACACGCTGGCCTCTTGATCTCACCAAGCCCTGACACAAACACCTAATTCCAAAACTTTTTACTATGTAGTGGCGCCCCACCTCCTCCAAAAAAATAAAATCTTAACTAAGCTTCTCCAGAAATCTTCATCACAATTGATTTATTTAAGACTATAAGCAAAAGTTCAATGTAATTAAACTTCCTATTTTCCTGTTACTCTATTTTACTTGGCCACTGGCCTGGAAGAGATCAGCACTCCAGGTGCTGAAGGCCCCTTTACTTGTTTTTCACAAACATGTATCTAATATAGTAGTTTGTAGAAGTGTTTGCAAGTGCAAAATGTGATTAAAAAAAACACAAATCCTTTAACAAGGCCTCTGGCCTTGAGCTGGACTTCACATAGATATCTACATTTTTAAGATAAGAGAAGTTACCAATTGGGCTCCATGGTAACAGCTGGCAGGGGAGGAAAGGAAGGGGAGAAGAAGCTCTCCCCTTCTCAGGCTCTGTCCTTGAAGGGTTAACTTGCCCAGAACAGTGAAAAGCTGCTTTTATGTGAACTTCTGCAGGCTGTGAACTTCTGAGCCCCTCCCCTTACATTCTGGGTATAAAGTTCTGAAACTACCTGAACTTGGGGTTCAGGGGATTAATTGATTACAGCAAAAACTGTGGCCTCTGAACCTGGCCGCAGCCAAATAAAACTGTTGCCTGCTGTCTTCAGTGCCTTGCCTCCTCTGCCCCTACAGCAGCTACTCCACACTGCCTCCCTGAATTACTACTCAAACCAAATGAAACTATTACTGTTCTTCCCACGATGTCTGGGTTGTAGTAATTTAGAAATTATTCAGTACCCTTAAATTGTCACTTTAGAGATTTTAAAAGCCCTTAAAGGTTTATTCTTTCCCAAATAAATGGTCCCTTGACAGGTGAAAACTAAAATCCAGGAAACTCACCAAGCATGGCCAAGGTGTGCGTGATCGTATACAGTTGGTCCACAGCTATACCTGGGAACAAGTTAAGACCCATCACGTGAAACACCTGCATACTCAGCTGCAGGACCCCACACGCACGCCCTTCAGGCAACCTGCGCTGCGCGTGCCCAGCTCCCAGGCTGGCAGCGCTGCCCACCGCACCTGTCCACCACGCCCAGACCACCGACCCCGCCCGCCAGCCGCACCGCCCTCCGCCCAGCCCGCGCACCAGGAGGTGGCGTCCGCGCGGGCTACTATCAGCGGGTCCTTCCTGCCCGTGAGGCTGTTGTACACCTGCACGCCCGTGTCGCGGCCCTCCGGCTGTAACCAGGCCCGCCCGCGCCCCTCGCACGCCGTCCGACTCAGCCCCGGGCCCAGCGCGGCTGGGAGCAGCCGGGCGAGCAGGCCGAACGCGCGCGTCTGTAGCATGTCCTCGGCTGGCGAGGGACCGCGACGCGCCAGGCTACGCAGGCACAGCGCGCCGCCTGGAGCCCCGCCCACCAGCCCCAGGCCACGCCTGTCCCTCCCGAGGCCCTGCAAAGCCAGCCCGAGGCTCGCCCCGCCTACCGAGGCCTCGCCCACCACTCGAAACCGCCCGGAGCCCGCCCAGGCCACACCCCGGGAGAGCCCCGCCCGCCGCCGGAAGAGGAGGTGGCAGCGGCCCCAGCTAGGGCTGGCCTGGGCGCGGAGGTGTGGGGCGAGAGGCGGGCGGAGAGGCGGGAGGGCTGCAGGGAAAGGCGGGCCTGCGGCGCTTTCCCTCCTAGCGCAGGTCGCGCTGCACACCCTTGGGGACGCAGTGCGAGCCCGGCTCAGAGGCCCCTCCGCGGCGGCGAGCCCGCGGCCGCAGCGAGGGGAGATGGACCTTTGGACCTCGCCGGCCCGCGAAGCACGTCTGCACCTCAACGTGCATCATGTCTGCATCCCAAAAAAGTGTGCACCCTACATGCAGAATGTATGTATCCTAACACTGCACCCCACATTCACACAGCATGTCTGCATCACAATACAACGTGCAGCCCAACACACAGTACAAAAGTGCCTCAGCGCTCTCTTGGAGGTCTCTGGATGAAAGACCAAGACTAGAAGACCTTCCCATTCATCAAGTACATGTAGCAGGAACTGCCTGCTTGGGATTCATTTTAACAGTAAAACAACTATCATCCATTCTTTGAGAACAAAAATGTTCTGAGAGTTACTTTCAAATAATATCGACAAATGTGCCCCTATTGGCAGTTTGCAAAACAATCTAAAAAAAAAAAATCCCTTTGCTTTTCAGTTCTCAAAACAGCAGTTTCTTCAGTTCTTTTTTTAGTTTTATGTTCTCTTAAAAGGCAAAGTAGAGACAAACAAATGTGTTCCTAGAGTACTTAAATTTTTTTTCTCAAGGTCCTGGAATCCAACTCTGCAATTGTTTCAAGCTAAACTATAGTCGAATGTTCTCGTGCACAAAGTTAAATTGTACCAAATTAGAAGCCCAAATACATCTTGCTAACCATACAAGCTCCATACCTGTTCTGAATTCTCCGGAATACACCACTTCCTCACTGCCAGTGCAATACTTGTCTTGATGTTGTTTTGTAATTGTCTCTTGTTTCTTTCTAGTGAAATGTGTATGTTTCTCTCCTAGAGATTGTAATTTTTTTAACTTATTTTTTTTTTAAACACTGCACTAAATTCAGAAAAGAACTCGTTGAATGTTGCTGAATTATAGTCTGTTATGAAGTCCACTTAGGAGAGAGGAAGATTGGGCAGTAAAATACCAGATAGAGAAAGCTTTGATTCTAATCAGAGAAATGCCAGTTTAAAAAAAAGGACAAGAGCTGGGCCGGTAATCTGGGAGGTGGAGACAGGAAGATTGCAGGTTTGACGCCAGCCTCAGCGATTTAGAAAGCCCTAAGCAACTTAGTGAGATTCTATCTCAAAATAGAAGTTGAAAGGGGCTGGGAATGGAGCTCAGTGGTAACTCGGGTTCAATCCCAAATTCCAAAACAAACAAACAAAAGCTGGGATGCATGAGAAATCCAAGAAAAGAGTTACAGTAGAAGTTTGGGGAAAAAAAGATTTAATAACACTGACATCCAAATCCTACACATGAATCTGGATAGCTGAAAGAAAAAAATTAATCTGGCTAGGTGGCATATTTGGATTGGCCTAAGAAAATCAAGACTTTTAAATTAACAATGATATCTTTTGTTTTCAGAAAATTAGTTTTGTAATGTATTCAGCTTTTGACTGGCACTAATTCTACTTTTTCTCACAACTTTTGGGAATCACCAAGCAATGATAAATAAAATCTAATATTTAATGATGAAAAAATATCGTTTTTTGCACAATGAATACTACAGTGACTTGGAAGATTTACTAGCACATATACCTAAAAAGAGAATCTGTTAATTTGAAGCCATCTCCTGCTTTAATCTAGGTCAGCATAAATTAAAATGGATTCCGAAATATTATTAATGCCATTTTTTTAGTCCTTAATGACAATAAAATATAGTTCTCAGGATTACATTTTAATTTTTTGGGAGTAGTGGGGGGTACCTGGTTTGAGCTCAGGGGCACTCACCCACTGAACCGAATCCCAGCCCTGTTTTGTATTTTATTTAAAAACAGTGAGTTGCTTAGCACCTGGCCTTTGCTGAGGCTGGCTTTGAACTCGCAATCCTCTTGCCTCAGCCTCTCAAGCTGCTGGGATTATGGAGGTGTGCCACCATACCCAGCTCCATTTTCTTTCAAGGCAAAATCATGAAAATCCAAAGTAGAGGAGATTATGGTGACATATCATTTAGGGACTTTCAAGTTTAAGATGGATTAGTTATTGATTTAAAAAAAAAAAAAAAGATTTGAATTTGTAGATGGACAGCATGACTTTGTTATTTTTTTTTTTTTTTAATGTGGTGCTAAGAATCAAATCCAGTGCCTCACACATGCTAGGCAAGCACTCTGCCACTGAACTACAGCCCCAGCCCAGTATAGATATTTTAACCACCTCAAAACATGAACTGTACATTCATTTCTTCATAGGTTTGAATGCTTTTAGTTAAACTAGAAACATAATTTTGTTTATTTATTTATTTATTGTGATGGAGATCAAACCCAGGGCCTGGGATGGAACCAGAGCCTTGCACATGCTAGACAACTGCTCTAGCCTGACATGTAACTTTAGAAAAAAGTTTTAATGTGTAGTTTAGCAGTACACCACAAAGCAAAACTGAAACAGTCAGGATTCTTCAAAAATCGAGCACTGTTCCTTAGCGCCATATTTAAAATGCAAGATAAACGGTTATTTTATCTATTGGTATTCTAGGCATGTTCAGAAAACACTTTCTGACTTTTTACCCTAAGGGGAGGATTAATTGTTTTATGGAGGTCCAACTGCTTATTCACTACTTGTCTTCCAAGCACATAAAACAGTAGTTGGCACGTGGTGGAACTACTCAAATATTTCCAGTTGAATGAATAAGAAGCCTTTTGGTTTATGCATCTGTGAAGTTCATGAAGAAGAAGAAGAATTATTCAGATAGTATTGTGACTTTTTGAAAAATAAGCTAGTTCTAACTCCAGTTTATTTTTTTTTATCTTTGTTTTCTGATACTGGGGATTGAATCCAGAGGTGCTTGAGCTACATCCCCAGCCTTTTTTATTTTTTGAGACAGGGTCCTGCTAAATTACTGAGGCTAGCCTCTAAAATTTGCCATCTTACTGCCTGAGCCTCCCCAGCAGCTTGGATTACAGCCCTGCACCACTGAGCCTGGCCAGCTAGATTATTTTTGAATGGGATAAATTCTTGCTAACCTTTATTCTTGAGTCCAGATTAAAAACTGTTCATTCTCAGGCCAATGACTGCTAGGATTAAAAGAACCTAGACAGGTTCTCTTTTTTGCTATTGTGCTTTTAAGTTACTTACATGTTCTTTGCGAAAAAGGCATATTTAAAATTCAACCTTGCACCCCCTTCTACACTTTATTCACTTCATGTTTCTCTTCCCACAGGTCACAGTGTTTTGTGCTAATCAGTGGCCAATGAATCGTGTGGTCGAAATGAAACTTCGTTTCGTCCTTTAGCACCGCAGCAACGCTCCAATATGAACAATCCAATTCAAAATACAGCTCAATCCAGTCTCCTCTGCTGCCCTAATGTCCACGTCACAAAATAACCTACGGGTCCAGGGAATGCGCACCCCAGCCGTAAACACTCTATTTACAAATACTGAATTAGATTAGTCCGAAATTGTGCTGGATTATACAGGAAACTAAAAAATTCCAACAGATATGTTTCACGTAACATTTCAAATCTTCAAATACCGGAAAGTGTGCCCGTTTAAACTGCAAGTGTCTGTCTGCGGCCGCGCGTCCAGATTTGCAGCAGGATAAATCCGGGACTCCAGCGGAACCCTACGCTGCTTACACGGAGACAGGGGAAGCCGGGGAGGCGCGGCTGGGGCTGGGTCTCCGCTCGGCACTCGGCCACAGGCCACCCTACGCGGGACCCTTCTGCCCAGCGCCGCTCCCAGTCAGGCAGAGCAGAAGCCAAGCGGAGGGGCCGGGACCCGACGGCACGCAACTCCAGTTGCAGCGATCGAAAGCCAGCCCAAGGGAACCACAGCAGAGCTCGGACAAAGGCGGGAGCGCCGCCGGGGCGTGGCCACGACCGAGAGGCGTGGCTTGTCCCGGAAAGGGCGGGGCGGACCATCCGGTCGTCTAGGCAACGGAGGGCTCAGAGCCGGGCTTTTCAGAAAGTCTTAAATCCTGGAGCCATGGTGGAAGGGAGGTTAAAGAGGGTTCGGGGCGTCAAAGGACACTAAAGTGCCGCCAGCGCCCCAGGTGTTGGCGGTCCTTCCAAAAAGTGGGGAATGCAGAGCGCTCGGAGGGCACCTAACGGGCCAGGAATCAGGGAAGCATCTTTTCCGCCGGCCCGCCCTCCGCAGAGACTCGGTCCCAGGGAGCAGCTTTGCTCTCGGGCCCCTTTGTCTCCAAGCCGTTCCAAACTGAGCTCCAAGAGGTGACAAAGGGAAGGCAGTGGTGAACAGCGCAGCCGCGGGAGCCGCCAAGGCTGCTGGGAGTGGTGGTCCTGCCGCGCTACAGTACTCGGTCCCCCTCCCGCGCGGGCCTTGGCCGCTGCCGATGCTAGTGCGCTTGCGCCAGCACTTCCGCCCCTCCAGTGCCCACCCGCTCTGCCGGCCTCCAGACTTTAGTAGTAGGAGCCCAGGAGGAGCCCGAATTTGTCACGCCCCCTCTCCGTCTTGATTGGCCGCAGAGGTAAGGTCTGCAAGTGGATTGGCTCTCCGGGTTGCCAGTTCTTTTCCGGCTCATACTTATATTGCGCGGCGGGGCGGGGACGAGTAGAGTAAGGCTGGGAGAGGTAATGGTGGTTTGCTACTGTCGGAGTCTCTCAGGCGGCCGTCCCGCGGCCAGTCAGGTCCCGGGAAGG